TCAGGCTGGAGGAGTGGGGGCTCCTGTTTACCCATCAACCCCAGGTGCAGGGCCTTTCTGGAGCTGACTGTAGCAGCAGTGCACCTGAAAGGAGGGAGGAGAGCAGATGGTGGGCTGAGTTATTATCATCCTCACTTGACAGAGAAGGAAACTGACCCAAAGACAGAACGTGTCCTGCCAAAGGTCAAAAATTCTGAGTGGGACTTACACCCAGGTCTCACAGAGACACAAGAGTATACGCTATTTATATGGAATTCTGGGAAAGGTGAAACCAATCCATACTGACAACAGAACAGTGCCACTGTAGGTCAGGGTGTGCTGGGGGCCGAGTGACTACAAAAGATCATGAGGGAACTTTTTGGATGAAAATGTTCTCTATTTGACTTTTGTGATCATTGTGGTGTACTGATGGACTGAAACTGTAGTCAATTATAATGAGTGCATTTGTTATGTGTAAATCTTACCTAATTAAAGGGTCTTTAATCCAGCTCTCTGATTTAATTCAGTGCTCTTGTTTCCACCATTCAGGTGACATCCAGTTGTGGTGTCACTGATCTGGGCCCAGTGTCCTGTAAGTTATTCTCACACCCAGAGGGGGTCAGAATCCCATCTGAGTAGGAACCAGGAGAGGCTGTGGGAGTGCTAGGCCCTTGTATCCTAACTGCCTGGTCAAACCAACTAATCAATTGGCAAAAATCAAACATAAAACCTAGGCATCTGGACCCCTCAGCACTGGCCAGACCACATCGCAGCACAGGATAGTGGCCTTGGTTTATTAATCTGCAACAAAAAATCTGCCCTGACTCCCTAAAAGCTGAGTATCCTGGACTTCGCCACCAAGGCAGGGCTATGCCAGAATTTGCCCGCCTTCCAAGTCTTCAGCTGAAGTCGGGAACACCCAGGGTGATCTAGAATACGCTTCTCCGAGCAACAAAACTTTAGAGCAAGACTTTAATGAGTTCCCCCGTGGCCTCTTCCAATTCGAGTGTCTCTAACCTGGCCCAGATTCCAGCCCCCTACAGGGCAGTCCTTGGAAAACCAGACACAAGGGCCAATTAAACTGGTTCTCAATGACCAGGGAGCCAGTGGTGGGGACAGAAGGAGCCACACTGGGGGCGACTCTTTGGATGATAAAAGCTGAAGGGATTTCCAAACCTTAAAATTTGCAGTTCTCTACTCAGAGGGCCAAAGGCTTCAGCAGCTCAGGGCCCAGGGCTGAGCGGGAATGAGAGTCCCCGTAGGCATGAACGCATGTTCCATCTTAAAGCTGCTGATCAGCAGGCAGGACTCAGGGATGAAATGTGTCCTACCAGTTCCTCTCCTAGAAATATGGAAGATCTGTGTCCAGATCAGTCCCACAAACTACCACCGTTCTGGCATCTGTTTATCTACACGTGTGAGGACTTTCAGTGAGCTCACTCACCTCTACTAGAAGGAACCATAGGGCCTTTCACTCCCCAGTGGTTGTGGCAGCCCCATGGCTGGCCTTCAGACTACAGTGAAAACCAAGTGCACCATGGGACCCGCAGAATAAACATGAGCTAAGAGGGGACCACAAGGGCACATACCTGAATAACAGCGTGCTGTGACAGGGCACGTAAACCTCAAGAGGTCTCACGATGTTGGCCAGGTCATTCCATCCAGGTGGAGTGGATCCTGCCAGGCTCTGAACTGGGAGGTCAGCAGCAGGCCCCCTGAGGCCCACCCCAGGACCTCGCAACTCACAGGAGCCATTGGTAAATACACCCAAAACCTAGGGTAAGAAGGGAATCATCCAGATCTCTTCTGGATGAGCACTCGGGGCTCCTTCTTTAACCCCATGTGGTTTTGTCTAGACTTATTTCCTTTGTTTGGTTTGGTACCAGGGTTTGCGCTCAGGGGCGCTCTACCACTGAGCTACATCCCCAGGTCCTTTTTTGAAAATTTGAGGCAGGGTCTCACCATTTTATCCCCCCTCCCCCCGTCGCCCTACTCCCACCCCCACAGGCAACACCCTAGTGTGCAGCACCTTGTTGGTCTGCGGTTTTGCAATCTTTGTGTTGCCTTTGGTGTGCACGTATCTTCAGTTTCTGAAAACAGTACTATCACGTTTCCCACTTTTTCCACCGAGCTATTTTTGAGGCCTGTATCATCTGCTGTCTGTGACTTGGAACTGCTCTGCTGCACTCCACAACATCATCCACTACATTTCTCTGCACTCTCCCAGCAACGGACACAATCTCACAACCACCCATCACACTGGGGGACCATTCTTACACATGTCTCCTATGCACCAGGGGAGACTTTTGTTGGGAACACACAACAGAAGTGGAATTTCTGGGCCATGAGCTGGCATGTACTTCACTGGTGAGTAGTGCCGGGCCGCTTTCCAGGACAGCCACACTGGCCACGGGCAGCAGTCTCTGAATCTCAGCCCACATTCCCACGACTCACCTTTCCAACTTCTGCTCATCTATTGAATGCAAAGTGACACCCAATTATTACTTTAGTTGGTGCTTCTCAGTTTGAGCATTGGTGTTGGCTTGATGGATTAGGGTCTGCCTGTTCACCCCCTTCGCCCATTTTTTTCTTATATGGGTTCTTTTTGTTGACCTATAGGAGCTTCTTGTGCATTCCTGACATGTGATCATTGATTGGTGTTATCTATTGCAAATGTCTTTTCTCATCTCCCACACCTACCAGCAGGCCTTCTGCCAACCACTAAAGCAAACACACTAAGAAGAAAGGAGTAAAGGAAAACAGGAGGGAAATCACTGAGTCCAAACTAATATATTAAATGAAGAAAATATTTACAGAAGCACAACAAAACTACCTGAGACTTTTTTTGTACCTAAGTGTTCAAAATAAAAGTTAGAAGTAAATAAGCAGAGTGCAAAGAGAGACTAAGAAGTTAAAATAAATCTTAAGGGAAAAATAATTTTGAAAAGAATATAAAAATAAAATCACATCTGTATTTTTCTTAAAGCTTCACGGAAAAAGGGAATGATGCAGAAGTCAGGCGGGGTAAGGGGGCTAAACACAGTCACAAGTGGAAACAAAAAGAGGGACAGAAAAGGCACAGACAGCAGAGGGCTGGCTGGTAAGACCCAATAAGCCACCACCTGCCCTTAGGTCCCTGGGGTCCTGACAGCAGTAGTCAGGAGGCAGGAAGGTGTCAAGGCTGCCAGTGGATCGAGTACTGGTTCACGTATCAGGCTGAGGCCAGCAAAGGGCCTGGCCAGGACCTTTGTATTCAGAGCTGCTGACTGGGCCGTGGTCAATGGACAAGGCCTCAGAAGCCTTAGGAGTAGCCAGTGCTGGGCCTTCCCCTGGCTTTGGAGACTCTGGGGCATTAACCACTGAACCTTGCCCCCACCTCCCCACTCCTTTGTGAATCTCCTACTTCCCAGCCTCTCCGCTGGCCCATAGTCTTCGGTAGAAGATGCAAGTGGGAGAGAGGCCACACATGCCAGAGGGCCAGGGGAGGTGTTGCCCTGGGAATCGCTTTGGTCCCACTTAAGCAGGCGAGGAGACAGCCTGTCTGAACAAGCTGAGTACCACCCAAGAGGGCATGAGGTAACATCTCCGTAATTCACCAGGTGCCAGCACGGCAGCCCTGCTTGCTGGTGGAAGCAATGATGGTGAGGACCCAGGGACCACTGCCCTCCTGCCTGCCAGGCAAACTAGCTATTCACCCTAAGTGGCCAGGTGTCTGTCAAACGATTTAATTGGCTAGTTACAGTTCCAATGACTCAAAGGGAAAAAAAAATTCAACTGTCAAGTAATCCAAAGTTCCACCATCATTTCATCACAAGCCAGAAGGCTAAGGAAAAATCCAGGTGAGTCACTGGAGTGGAAAACAGCTGATCTTGAGATGAAGAAGGGATACGGGCTGGAGACCAGTTAACCTGAATCCTTCCAGTGAGACATAAAGGCAGGTACCCCTGTTGCACCAAAAATTCACTGGAAATTCAGCTGCTTGGCATTTGGATCCCTATTCCCAGAGGGACTGCGCCTAGTGGGGTGTCGCCAGCTGGCCCACAGTCCAGGCTGCCCACACCCCAGCAGTTCCCAGACAGAGATTTCATCAATCAGTTTTTGTTTTCATTTTGAATTGGTTTTTGATCAGGTGGATGACGTAGGATTGTTGGCATTTTATTTTTCCAAGGAAAATATTTTTTAAAAGACTACCACCCAGTATCACCATCACCCCATCTGTTCTGATCCACTCTTCCCACCTTTTACTAACCAGCATCTCCCCACTCCCCTGTACACTCAGCGCTTGGCTCAACCTCCATTTGCTGGCTGGACTGTGACCCACAGGAGTGGACAGAAGTAGGGGCTCCTTATGATGGCAACATCCCACATACAGGGAAATCACCTGTGGGAGGGAGCTGGCGAGGCCTGTACAGACCACAAACGCAGAATTATGTAAAGGGCTCCCAGTCAAGGGCTCGGGATTTTGAAGTTTCAGATTCTGACAATGAAGATCCATCTTCATCCCCAAGGCTGTAACATAACACAGGATACAAAACTGGAAGCCCTGCTCTGGTGACGGCTGCCCTCTAAGAGGCGGAGGTACAGATGGGAAGTGTGTACTCATGATCAGGCACCCAAAGACAGAGGCACCAAGGAAAGGCGGGTCGCTTCTGTCTGCCACCCTCCAGGCGCCCCCCCATTTTGGATCTCTGGTCTCCAACCTTAGGGTGTGGATCCTGTAATGTTTCCCCTTCTACTGCAACAGAACCTTTGAAAATAAGATGTCTCTGAGCTCTACACAGAAAGATCCCAGGGAGCAAGAAATGGTACCTCTCTGGGTCTTCCTTTAAGCAGTATCCCATGGCTTGAACTCTCAAGGACACTCAGGCACATCAGTGCACGTTATGGGAGGGGAACTTCCTGTGTCCATGTAACCCCAAAGCTGATGGATGCCACTGCATCAGGTTTTTTAGACAATATCAGGCCCTCGCAAGGAATAATTCATGGGACCATCTTAAAATAAAGACCATGACATCTACAGATGGGAGGGAATATGTATATTTTAGGTATAAAGGTTTACCATTATTAACAAGTTATCACTACTATTTACATGTTTATAAAATGGAAATAAAAATGCCATACAGGTTTGATGCCAAAAGTGGCACATCCAAACTAAAACCAGTATAAAAATAAATTTTCAAGCTACGTGTTTTTAAAATAATTGTCACTGAAACAGTAAGGGGACACTGCATCGTCGTGTTGAGGAGCAGTCATCATCTCAGCAGCCACAGGGGCAACAAGGAAACCAGTGCCTGCTGGAAGAGCCACCCATGTTCTCCCGAGAACACACGTGGACAAACAAAGACAGAGACGAGAGTTACATTCCTGAGCTACAGAAGTTTAGAGCAGCTAAACTTAGTGAATTCCTGCTACAGAGGAGCCCTGAGGGTCAGAGCTGGTGGGCTTTCGCCAGTGCCAGCTCTGGCACCAGGACGTGGCACTGAGCTCTGAGAGAAAGCTCAGCCCACTGTGAAAGACAGAAATCCACGGCTACCCGGGATGGTGCATGGGAGTCCTCCTGTAGACACCAATCCCTTGTCAGTCTCCTGGCCATAGTTAAGCAGGGACACAGGCAGAAGACAGACACAAGCTGCTCGGTTTGGACCCCTGGCAGACCTGACCCTTGGCCATCCTGGCAGAAATCCCCAGCATTTCCAAGGTCCCCTGCCTTCACTCACACACGCTTGTGCACATCCAGCAGAGGTCCTCACTGGTCAACTCAGCCATGGCCACAGCAGGGAAGCAAAGGTGGCCCAGCAGAGCCTTTGTCCACCCCACGTGGCACTGCAGCCTTCAGCAGCTGGCTTTCTTCCTCCTTCCCCAGGAGCTGGGCCAGTATTGTGCGCCTGCTGCCAATGGCCTGCTGGGCCAGTGAGCGTGCTGACCAGCCCAAGAGCCGCCTGGCCCACTCCCATTCTACCTAGTGCGGCGCGTGGTGCGTCTGCCCATGCACGGACTTCTCTGGATCTCAGCAAAGAGGCAAATGCTGGCAAGGGTGGGAAGAAAGGAGCCAGTGAGCTGGCTGCAGCCCACTCCACAGCAGCTGCAGATTCCACGTGAGCTGGCGCCAGCTCACACCCCCGGGGCCAGGGACAGCAAGGAAAAGAGGCCACCAAGCAGTTACTGCTACTGCAACTGAGCTCAGCTCACAAGTCCTGGACCTTGGCCCTTTTGGCTTTCAGGGACAAGTGCTGCAAGAGAAGAGAAAACATCATAGTTGGGTTAACTGGACAAGGACACCAGACTCCAACATAATTCCCAAGTCAGTGACCAAATCAAATCTTCCACCCAGTCCACGCCTTCTCAGGAAATGCTGTGTCCCTCAGAAAAAAGCCTGGAGAGGGAAAGCCCAAGTGACCCATGAAGGAAACAGGACTTCAGGAGGCCACAAGCAGCCGGAGCCGGCCCACCAAGACAGAAGCTGGCCCCACAGCACTCCAGAGGCTGCCAGTGAACCGCCTCTCCCTCCGCCAGGCAGCACTGAAGCCCAAGGCCTGTGCTCAAGGGCTGGCCTCAACAGAGGATGGCCTCAGCTTTCCAAGAGGTTTTTGAGAATGGTCAAGGAAAAGTACTCTCCCTTTAGAAACAAAGGAATGGGTCAATTCAGCCAGCATCTCCACCTGCCAGGTGCCTGTGCTCACCGGAGCTAAAGCCATGGCCCCTCCCACAGTGGGGGTTACACCAGCTAAGAAGCCAGGCAGGAAACAGACACCTCCTAGTGACAGTATTTTCCCCCCAGAAATGTCACTGTCAGTATACATAACATACGAATCTCACTAACATAATCGTGGGTATTAGATAATAGGATTAAAGGATAAAAATATTCTAAGGTAAAACCAAAAGTGATAGAAATCTTAAAATATGCATTTGAGGCAGAGTAAATATAAGCTTCTAATAAGGGACAGCCACTCACCAACTGAGGGACATCTGATGCCCCATCAAAAATCATAAACGAATACCAAGACCCGGGCACACGGTGAGTTCTTCACAAGGGGACTTCCCACCCCAACTTCTCAGGGCCCAAACCCCATTTCTCAGCACACACACGGCCTCACGAGAGCAGGTCCCACCACCCCAAAGAGAACAGCAGTCCCTGAGCAAACACAGGGTGGAAAGAAGACGCATACACTGCCAAGTACAAGGTAAGAAAGGACTGCGGGACGGGAGCCAGGGCCCAGTGAGCAGCAGGATGACAGACTTTCTATCTATTCCTGCCTAAGGAGGACCAGGGAAGGGTCTTCCAAAGGCCAGGTTGGAAGGGTTTTCCCAGATAACAAAGATAACTTTGAGAAACACAAAAACAATTTGCAGATGGGAAGGCAAATCTCTGAACAGGTCACCCTATTCTTGCTGTATTTATCCTCTGAATTCTCTCCTCTCTGTACTTCACCTGATATGACCCTCCAACTAAGGTTAGACACCCACAGCCTTAGTTGAGAATGGAAGATGACGCCATTGTGCTTACAAGGCCATTTTTGGTGCTCATTTCTAGAAGGAATGTTGAGCATAAACAAAGCTGACTCTGAACCATTTTAGGCCTCTTTATAAGGAAGAATGACATTCTAAAAAACAAGTGAAGTAACGTCACCTAGGGTGCCAGGAACAGAGCATGGATGGTCCGTGGGCTGTATATGGTCTATGTTCACCAAAGAACATCGACAGTCCATGGGCAGTCCCTGGAGATCCGGAGAGTCCCGGGCAAGGCCATCTGCTTTGGAAAACTTAACTGCAGAAGCTCCTCTGGACTACTGTTAACCAGGGGGACCTGGGGACCTGGGGACCCTCACTGTACAAGGAGGCCGCTGCACTGGTGGTTTCTAAAGGTCCCAGCCTTTTTAAAAATGCTGATCACGGTGAAAGTGATGGGCTGTAAACCAGGCATTTGGAGAGAAAAAAATAAGTGTGAAAATTTGGGCTTGTCTTCTTCAAACTTCTAGAGCTGTTTGCTCTTTAAACTTTGCGGGGTTGACCTAAAGAAACTGTAATTTTGAGCTGAGAAGGGAAAGTGATGAGGTTAATTCTGCTCTCCAAGAGCCCTGGGAACCCAGGACTGTGTGGGACAATGGCAGGCCTGGTCTCCTCTAGGCACCGCTTCTTACTGCTTCAGCAGGCCTTTTACAGGGGCTTCTCGCCATTCTAGTTTGCATTGCTAATCACCTCTCTCTGGCTCTGAAGTCTGTTGTTTTCCACAGAAGAGACTGGAAGGAAAAGATTTTCTTTCACTACAGGTTTATTCTTACCAACCCAACAGGGCAGGGGCAGCACTCTCTGCATTTCATCAGCCCCTGCAGTTGATCTGGTTTCTGGCTGAAACACCTGTTTAGGATGTGTGAAGAACTGTAGAGGTTTGAATTGTTTTTTGTTTGGATAAGAATTAAATCTTATGTAGATTTGCAAAGGGCAATTTCCCTTGACCTTACAGGGGAGGAGGGATGAGAAGACCCGTCCATTCACAGGGTCACAAACTCAAATGTCTCCAAGAGTTGAGCAAATGAATAAACAGGGATGTAGGACTGTGGCATCTACAGCAGGAAGTCACTCCTCAGCCTGATAGCCGGCATGCAGAATCACAGGCACAGTGTTATACTTTTTCAAGAGAAAACAGAAACTTATATTTAATATGAAATCTCCCTTAAAAAAAAAAATAAAATAAAAAAGACAGGGTTTCACTATGTTGCCCAGGCTGGCCTTGAACTCCAGAGCTCAAGTGATCTTGCTGCCTCAATCTCCTAAGTAGCTGGGACTACAGGCATGTGTCACTGAGACTAGCTTAAACCTCCCACTTTTTAAAGGCAACAATCAATTCAAATTTTGATTGGAAAACACTGTGCAGTCCAGCTCTAGCCCTGATGGAATAAGAGGTTTTGGACTTTCCCTTATGCTGGAAAAACCATAAACCCAGATAAGAGAGAGAATGCACACACGGTGCTGGTGCTGGAGATTGAACTAGGGCCTGGTGCATGTTAAGCACATACTCTACTACTGAGCTATAGGCCCATCAGAGGCTGTAATCTTTGAAAAAGGAAACAGGTAAGCTTCATACTCATCCTGAATCTCTTTCTAGGTCTCCAAACCTTGGCACAGAGAAGTAAATTCTAATCAGAAAACAGAGGAAACGGAGACAAGAGTTCAGAACTGTTAAACAGCTAGAATTTACAGAATAGGGCATCATAAAGGGGGAGCTCCGGAAGTCCACACAAGGCTACCCTGAAGACTTTGGCTGAACATTAAGCGATACGATTCAATAAATATAAGATTCAATAAGAATGGCAGAGGCCTGGGGAGTTAAAAGCAGAAATGGAGATTCTGAAGGCCTGAAAGTGCTGGGTACGATGGCTCTCTGACCTGGCAGAGCCCTCACTGAATATCCTAGCCATTTAACTGAGACACCAAAAAGGCCATGTCTCAAGCATATTACTAAGACCTACCCTATGAAGACCAAGATTAAGGCTCTGCAGAATCAAATGATGTGCCTGTAACTAACTGAGTGCCAGAATAACAGTCAACATTCTATAAGAAAAGGAAACAAAATACAGATTTTTACAACATAACATCTATAATATCCAGCCTACAACAAAAATGTACTAGGTACAAGAAGGAGGAAAATGTGGTTGATTATGAGGAAGAACACAAAGACAAAATATAACAGAAATGACAGAGATGTTGAATTAGTAGGCAAGACTTTAAAATAGTTATTATAAATATGTTCATCAAAGATTTAAAGGAAAAAATGCATATGATGAACACATAAAGGATCTCAGCAGAGATTATAAAAACAAAACTAAAAAAGAATCAAATGAAAATGCTAGAATGGGAAAATACAGATCTGAAATGAAACATTCTCTGCAGGTACTGAACACTGCAAAACCGATCAGTAACCTGAAGACAGGTCAAGAGCAGCCGTCCAAACTGAAGCACGGAGACAAGGACCAGAGCCTTGTGAGGTGTGAGACCATATCAAGAGCTCCTGCGCAAGCAGCTGTGCTCCAGGAAGGAGACGCACTGAAGCAGAAAAAAAGTATTTCAAGGAATCACTGTCCCAAATTTCCCAAACACGATTTAAGAAAACCAGCTGAAAGAACCATCACACTCAATGAACTCCAAAGTGAGACAAACACAAAGAAAGGCGTCTCCCATGTCAAACTGCCAAAAATCAAAGACAAGGGCTAGGGATAGAGCTCAGAGTGCTTGCCTCACATGCACAAGGCCCTGGGTTCAATCCCCAAAACCACCAAAAAAAAAAAAAAAAAAAATCAAAGATAAAGCTAGGAAAGAAAAAAGAAAAAAAAAAAAAAAAACAACACCTAAAAGCAGGCACTGGGCAGGGGAAGGGGAGAAGACTCTTTCACACAGAGAACAACCATGAAAACGACTGCTGGCTTCTCAGACGCCGCAAACCAGATGGCAAGGAATAAACTTTAAGATGCTAAAATGAAACAAGCAAACAAAAAGTCTTTCAAACTAGAATTCTACAGAGCAAAAAATACCTTTCAAAAACAAAGATGAAGTGAAGACCTTTTCAAATAAATGAATTCTGAGAGAACAGTTCACCGGAGACGTGAACCAAGATACAGTAAAGGAAGCTCTTCAGGCTAAAGGGGAAAGATGCCAGAAAGACACGGGGTCCAGCACTTGAAATGGCAGATATTTGGGCAACACGCAAACATTCGCTTTTTCTTTAATCTCTTAAAAGACAACTAATTGTTTAAAACAGTGACAGTAACAATGTATTGTGGGGTTTAAATATATGCAGAAATAAAATATAAGACAACAACAGCCCCAAGAATGAAATGGAGAAAATGAAATGTATTGTTATAGATTTCTTACATTAGAAGCTAAGTAGTGTAACCCTAATTCAAGGTCAACTGTGATGAGCTGTGGATGCCTAGAGCAACCCTAAAAAAATAAATGAATGAATAAGTAAAGAAACAAGAGGTATAAAAGACTACTTAAAGAGAGAAAATACAATTCTAAAAGAACCCTTGAAACAGCTAGAATTTGCAGAACAGGGCATGTGCCTGTGAAAGCAGGCAGGAAAAAGAACGAACAAAGAATAAGCTGAACAGACAGAAAAAAAACAGCACGGTGGTAGCTTAAATCTAACCATATTGATAACTGCATTAATAACTAGACACTCCAATTAAAAACACAATGCAGAACAAACAGACTGAGTCTATGAGTCACAGTCAGCCGGAAAGCTTGTGAAATCTGATTTACCTGTCAGACTTCTAAATATTAACAACCATCCCTCAATGAAAAATCTTGTTAGAAGAATGTATGGCCTTTCTTTTTTTAGGGCAATGAATGGACCACTTTTGGCAAAAGTGAAGAAGAAAACAAAACTATAAATCTGCTCAACAATGTTCACTACCCTGCTCGTCCTGTATGGGACCTGCCAAGGCAGAAGAGTGAACACGGAGGACTCTACATGGGCTAGGTCTCACCCACCAAACAGTTTAAACTACCTTGGGTTTAAGCCTGCACACCTATTCATAGTGTCCGTGAGGCAATTCTTATTAGAGAATATCTGGGCTACTCCAAATGTGGGTCTCAAGTGTGAGATAACTTCTTTAGGAGCAAAGGGAGAAAAGAAGAGCTGGAGATATGTTTGTTTTGGTTTGGGTTTTTTTCCCTGATGAGGCTGGACGGACTCATTTTTAATTGTACTTCCTTATGAAGCAAATGACGGACATGCTTTCACCCCGTTTGGGGGAACCGGGTAATGAAATGGCCTTTTCATCCTATGCACCATGGGTGGAGGCAGAGGGGATTAAGGGAACTAAAATGAAGAAGAAATGTGTATTTAACAATATAAACCAGCGCCTATGGGTGGTTTGGGGGACAAGATCTGTTCATTCCTACCGTTCCTTGCTGATAAAAGTGTGGAGCCAACTCCAACAGCCATGCAGACTCTATGGCAGTCACATCTCTCATGTAGTACTTGGAGGTCTGTATAACTTCATTGTAGATGACCCTGAAACGAGAAAGACATGGAGCATCCTCCCACGTCTCAGGATGGTCAGGAACCACAGTTAGAGATACTGAGTCCCTTTCCTTAATCATTCGCAGGTGTGTACTCCAAACTCCGTGTACAAAAGCACTGAACACCTGCAATGCATACCACTCCCTAAGCACATGGGTCACAGTGTGTACATTTCACAGAGAAGACTCTGAGTCCCACATGATTTCTAAGGTATCTCAGTTACCTGCAAAGGTAACTGGTCCTTTGTATGTTTATATAGCTCTGAACGAAATTTGAGGACATAATTAGACAATATAAGAAATGAAGGCAGATGCCTGATCAAGAAAAGGGCAGGGAAATTACTTCAGAGACACAAAGAACTTTCCAAAGTGATGAAAATATTTTGTCTTATTTAGAGTGTGAATTTCATGGAGGTACACATTTGTCAAAATTCATCTTTCACTGTTCATAAATGATATCTTAATGGGGGAACAAAAAGACTGAATCATCTGAACCAAGAACATAATTTCAAAACACCAGACTTCAGGAGCACATAACTAGTTTCTGAGCTATCTTAAGTGTTGATTCAGGGCATTCCTCAGAACCATAAATGCCCAGCCACACTCTGCTACCCCCCAGAACCAATAAAAGAGTCCCAGCTGATGAAAAGGAAGGAGGGGACCCTCTGCAGAGGCCATGGGGGAGGGGCACTGAGAGGCACAGGTCTGCTCCATACTGGCTCTATATCCACCACCCTTTCATTTCCAAGGAACTCCTCCGTGTGAAGCTCCTTGGAAATGAAACAGGAAAAAGAAAAAAATTTTTCTTTTAAGCAACTCCCAAATTTAAATAACCAAAAGTCAGCAGATCTTTATAGGAGATTCAGAATTGAGATCTCCAATTTGACCTGAACACCAATGACCACATTTCTAAATCCAGAATTGACCAAGCTGCTCTCCACCTTGAAAGCTTCTAGGTCTGTGCTGGTTACAGGACAGCCTACTCCCTTGATCTAGGTGAGAGCTCACTTCACCACTGATGTGAAGCACCACTTAAGTAGAGTGCTGGGCCCCCCTCTGCGGTTCTGACTCAGGCAGACTGGACACGGCCTGAGTCTGCACTTCCAGCAAGTTTCCAGGAGATGCTGCTGGTCTAGAGGCCATACTTTGAAAACTACTGGCACAAAGTATCTTACGCCAAAATTTTCTACCTTCTAATTTTATCTCCTGCCACTTTCCCTCCGTCTCTCCATACATGCACCCCTCCCCTTTCCCCAGGATTCTGTCTTCCAACTAGTTACGGGACCAGTGGTTGTCTTTAAAATTTCCAGTCCATTGTCAATCAATATTTTTTGTATATACAAAAATATTGTATATACAATATTTGTATATTGTATAAATGAATTATTTAAATGAATTATTTAAAAACTGCAATTTTAAAAAGACACAAAATATAAGCCCAAATCTATTAGTTTTTAAATCGGGCAGACATAAGCACAACTTGTCAAAATGCTATAAAAATATCTGAATGCCTTCGCCTGACCTCTGCACAAAACTTCTTCCTTCCCGGCCAGGGTTGCAGGCTGGCACCACTTCACAGGCCACCCCTGGGGCAGCCATGGCCAGCCACAGTGATTCCCCATTCCCCAAAGACAGGAAGTTCTTTGATGTTGCCCCAGGTTGCTCACCCTATTTCCTCAGTCTGAATGCCCTGTGGGTCCTTTTTTGTCTGAAAAACTTTGTCTATGAAGTGACTCTCTCTAGCACCGGAAGTGCCCATACTTTATACATCCCTCTAGCAAAGTCCTTCTACAATACAGGAATCAATCTAGGCCTGTCTCCATCAGGACTGGGGCTGGACCCCAAGTCATCTCTCTGCACAGCTGTGCAGGGCTGGGCATCTGGGCAGTGAGTGACAGTGAACCCGTTGAAAGGATGAGTAGCAGACACACATCAGTCTGCGTAAAGGGACCTTTAGTAGAGCAGAAGTTCTACACACAACTCAGCATAAGATGCATTCAACAAACACGTACAGAGCACCTGTGTTCCAGGGCCTGTGCCAGGACCTGGGGACCCAGAGTTGAACAAGAATCAGGCCCTGCTTCCAAGGCCCAGCAGCAAAAGTGGCTCACCATCGAGGCGGCTTCTCTGCATAGAGGACGGACGCAGGGTGGATGTGCAGCTCGTGATCATCCCGGATAGTCCTTGGAAGACAGAAGAATTTCATCTGAAGCACATTTTAAGTACTGACAGCAAGACTTTCCCACAGATGTTTCTAATATTAACAAAAAATGCAGACAGATTCAACTTCACTGAATGAAACAATTCTCTATATCTACTCTGTGCCCTTCCTTGACCCTCCCCTGCTGCCACCCCAGGAGTCAGAAATAAATCATACAAAAGGAAGAAAAGCAACTCGTGGCCACTCCAAAAAAGCATTTAGGAATATAATGCTTTGCCTGTGTTTATGTTCTGCGTGATCTCTTTCAAAACAATTTCCTTTGGGCAGAAATAATATGATTTCTTGTATAAGCTTTCCTATTTTACAAAATCAAAGAATATAAGAGGGGGTAAGATGTGTTCAAGCTCGGTATTGGACTATGAGTTTTATTCAATTGAATTAAGAATTATAACTACAGATCACAGGAGAACATTTACAGGATGTCACTGTCCAGAACTTCTCAGGGCACCAGGGAATCTGTTTCATCAGGGGAAGTGCTTCCAACACAGGACTAAGCTCATCGCTGGCATCATAATAAAACCAGCATCCTGGGGGCCCTGGCTGTCCCAAATGGTGGGGAGCTGACCCCACACTGAACTTGGTCTCAAAGGAATAACTGGCCTTAGAACCTCTCATGAAGCTCCTGGTTTTTGTTGTTGCTGTTGTTGTTTTTAAGGGCACTATTGCAATGTTTAGAATGCCTGCAGAAATGGCTGACTTGTCTTCAGGAGAAGGAGGGCGAGTAAGCCAATCAAAGTGACAAGTCAAGGACATTCGCTGGAGAAGAGCTCAGGCCTCTCCAGAGGGTGGTCCCACCTTCCTGCCTCCTGGAAGGACTGCCTCAAACACAGAGGACTCAATATGGGAGGGGCTCAGAATCCTGACAAAGATGGGCCAGGCCAACAGAACACACTAGAGATAACTGTCAAGTGCTGCGCTTTAAAGTTCAGCCAGCCACCAGGATGCTGGATGCAGCAGATATTGCTGCCAAAAAACTTTAAATGCTCACTGAACTCTAGACACTTTAACAGAAGCCTGGTGTTCAGGGAAAGGGATCTCTTGGTTGGCCTTAAGAACAGGTTTTCAGTATTTTCTCAAGGGAAAAAAAAAAAAAACTAATGGCAAAATAATACAGAGAAGACATCCAAAAAAGAGCTAAGAGAGCCTTAACATGAGGAAATGATGACAGCCACACTCTGACAGACTACAGTGAAGGGAGGAGACTACAATGAGCCACGGCATAGAAGAGGCAGACTAAAGCATCTGCTCAAAGAGCCAGAATGATTTAATTTGGAGAAAAGAAGGCTAAACTAACACTTAAGTTTTTTACTATATCTGAATACAGTGAGGCTGATGTAGGCATCAATAATCAGTGATTTTCTATGCCTAGAAAATGGGATGGAAGAAAGAGAATGCAGACTGCAGCAGGAGGAACGTTTGCCAAACTAAGAAACACTTGCAAAGTTCCAAAGACACCAGGAACCGGTGCGTCCCACCAAGCTCTACAGACAAAATGGACTCCCCAACAGTCAAAGTAACTTCTCTAGGAAACACCATCTTTAATGGTTTCCTCCAGTCACAGCATTCCTTAATTGGAACTGAGACAGTGCCAGCATCCAGCATGTAACTGCGGTCCTTCCAAAACAAGAATTACAACTTCCAGAGAGTCGAGGCAATTTGCTTAAAACTATATAACTAACTTCAACTCAGTTTTTGAGGGAGACATTATTTAAATTAAAAATAATTAATTGCTAGGCTGGGGATGTGGCTCAAGCAGTAGCGCACTCGCCTGGCGTGCGCGGGGCGCTAGGTTCAAATCCTCAGCACCACATAAAAATAAAGATGTTGTGTCCATTGAAGAACTGAAAAATAAATATAAAAATAATAATAATAATTAATTGCTCTACTATTTCTGCACATCAGCATTTTGTGCATTTTTTGGGGGGAGGGTCATTTTGAAGATTTCTTCTTTAATAAATGACTTCAGAAAGTATTGTGTTACCTATAAGCTCCAGTAGAATGAAACCTCGCTGCATTTGCAAAGAATCCAGAAACAATGCACCTCAGGACCGGATCAGGATCACCTGCACACAGAGCACCAGATGAGCAACACATGAGACCCTCACCTGCCCTACACGCCACCTCTTCAGGCCTCTGCCGTGAGGCACGGGACCCAGTCCTGGCCCCACCCCAGGCTGCTGCGAGACACCCTGGCACCATCTGAAGAGGTCCCCACTCCCACAGTGGCTGTTGAGAACAATAATGCAGGACAGCTCCTTGAACTTGGGGCCATTCCACACTTCCAGGCCACAAAGGACTGGACGAAGGCTGGACACCAGACCCTAAGAGAGTTAGTGCACAGGCTGGCCAGTTACCTCAGAATTCCTCTGTAGTCTGCACCTTGTGGGAATGATATTCTTTCCATAAGGCACAAACTGAAATATTATTCTACATCATTTCTGAGGTTATAAGCTATAGTGTACAATTCTTCAAAATTTCCAAATATTCCATTTTCATTGGTGTTTCTATTGATATAATAAACATCCCTCATGAATAAAGCTCCATGTTCTAGATGATATCCATAAGATAAATTCCAAATGATTATGCAAAAGAATAGTCTTATTTTTATGGCTTACGACACACCATTTTTCATCAATTTTAAGATTCACTCTTTTTTTTTTCCACTTCAACTTACTAGATCAGAACAGCATTTACAACTACAGTGGTAGCATGGTTTTCTTTTTTAAAAAATATTTATTTCTTAGTTGTAGTTGGACATAACACCTTTATTGTATTTATTTAGTTTTATGTGGTGCTGAGGATCGAACCCAGGGCCTCACACATGCTAGGCAAGTGATCTACTGCTGAGCCACAACCCCAGCCCCCTGTAGCATGGTTTTCTTTCTTACTGATACGTAATGATGGTGGTATTTTTAGATGCTATGAAAATATAATTGTTGGCAAATTCCCTAAATGTGGTGCTACTTACAAAGTCATCAACAATATACAAATATGTCAGTCTCACTGCACTCTTACCAACAATGTTTTGGCAAAAAGGGTTACCTTTGGGGGTGTAGCTAAGTGGTAGGCAGCTTGTGTAGCAAACACAAGGCCTGGGTTCAATCCCCAGCAAACACCCCCCCACACACACAAAGTTACCTTCTTTTACTTTATATTTATTTGATTGGTAACTATATATTTATTTATGAATTTCCTCGTCTTTTATTTTTACTTAAATTCCGCCCCCCCCCCCCACTTCTGGGGATTGAACCCAGGGGCACTCTACCACTGAATTTTATCCCAACCCTTTTTTTAAATTTTGAAACATGGTCTCATTAAGTTTTTGAGATTGGCTCAAACTTGCAATCCTCCTGCCTCAGATCCCAAGTTGCTGGGATCACAAGTGTGTGCCACATTACCTGGCCTTGTGAATTTTATATGCTAATCCTTTGTTCATTTATCAAATGTTTTTATCTTTTATCTCATGACTACTGAAAATATCTTTAATATTTACTTTTTAATATCTACATGTTTTAAATTTGCCTGTAATTTTTTCAGTCTCCATGATCTTCTTTACTGTTCCCAAGTACAGAACTGATTGATCCAAAATCTACATTTCGCACCATCATCTGATCCAAGATTCAGTCCCTTCTCTCTAAATGCCCTTCAGAAATGGCCTTTTAAAACATGCATTTGTCTCCGGGGCGATGTCACTTCCAAAAGATGAAAACTGGCTCTTGGGTGTGGAGGTGGAAAGAATAGCTTAGAAAATACAATGGTTTGTGGCCCTCCAAAGCCAACTCTTCATCGCAAAATTTATTACTCGGCATTTAATTCTTCTTGTTATGAAGAACTTAATTTTAATATAACTTTTTTTCCTGAACAGGGGGTTGATAATGAAAAACAGATTAAGATACACAGGTGCAGAAGTAAGGCTGGCATCTTCCTGCCTGGCAACAGGAAGCTGATCAGCTTCTCTCCAAGTAGTTACCCCGCAAAAATGCCTATTTCTATTAATGACGTCAACATGACCACAAGCTCACTGTGTGACCTTCAGCAGGTTATTTTTTACTCTTAGCCTCATTTCTTTCATCTATAAAGTGAGGATAATAGCAGTACATATTTCACAGGGTTATTATGAGCATTAAATGAATTAATATATGAAACACTCAGAATAATGAGCAGCCTACTAGAAGCAAGTGAGCAATGTTCACAAGTACCAGTCGGGGTGAGAACATGGCTGAGCGTCTGGCACACAGCACCCACAAGGACTGCTGAATAAACCAGCAGGTGAGTCACTCCCTCAAAAGTGTGGGCTTCTGGGCCGAACAGATCAGGCTCTACTGATTACCAACTGTGTAACCCTGAACTTCAGTTAACATCTCCCCAGGACTTTCTGAGTCCTGTAAAGCAAGGACACAATCACTTACATCTCACACAGTGGGAGACAAGGTGAGAGAATATCTGTAGAGCCCCTGCCACAGTGTAACCCTTCTCCTTGATTAACAGAGGATCCTCACTGTCACTGCTAGAGGTCAGGGACTGTCTTATACAGAACTACTTTCTGCCTTACCTTCGGTAACTTCCTATGCTAACTACATAGTACTGGCTTTAATTATGCTTGCATATGAAAATAAAATGTAATAGCCATACATTTCATCCACTAAAAGTAGTCTTTCTTAGCCAGGAACAGTGGCACATTTCTATAATCCCAGTTCTTGGGGATGGGGTGGCTGAGGCAGGAAGATTACAAGTTTAAGGCCAGCCTGGGCAACTTAGCGAGACCTTATAGCAAAATAACATAAAAAGGGCTGGGGTTGTAGCTGGGTGGTAGAGTGCCCTGGAGTTCAATTCCATGTACCACATACACAAAAGAAGTATTCATTCTTGCCAAGCATAGTGGCGCACACCTGTAATCCCAGAGGCTCAGGAGGCTGAGGCAGGAGGATCAAGAGTTCAAAGCCAGCCTCAGCAACAGCAAGGCTCCAAGCAACTTAGTGAGACCCTGTCTCTAAATAAAATATAAAATGGGGCTGAGTATGTGGTTCAGTGGTTGAGTGCCCCTGAATTCAATTCCCAGTACCTCCCCCACCAATAGTGTTCATTCTTAAAATAACTACATGATTATATTAATTATATGATGTATAATAAGGTGAATGTTAATGATTTGGGGGGGGGGGAGTGGTTACTAGGGAGTGGTTACTAGGGATTGAACCCAGAGATTCTTTACCACTTTACATTCCAAGTCCTTTTTGCTTTTTATTTTGAGAAGGGTCTCACTAAATTGTTGGGGCTGGTGTCAAACCTTCAATCCTCCTGCCTGGGCCTCCCCAGTTGCTGGGACTACAGACAAGCTGCTGTTAATGTGTTGTCATAACCTATACATTTGTTTTTGTGGGACCAACCCTCAGAAATAAAAATGGACCTCCTTGGGGAAGATAAGCAACTTAACACTGAGCTTTTCATGGATGCAGGTAATTTATTTAAAAAACATGAAACCAGTGTCAGTCCCAGCACAGTGCTGCCTCCCACCAGGCCAGCAGGGGAAGTCTAAGACTCCAGCTAACAGAGCGAAAAGGGCAAGTCCCCAACTGCCATAGCTAATGCCCGGGGCAGCTCATTCTCACCTTCGCTAGACTTCTTGGGCACCTGAAACTTGACAAGAAGCTTTTTCAACTGTTCTCTCACGGTCGCAGCTCTGACAAGACCCTTGTAATTCAGGAAATGTTCCTGGCACCACTGGGAGTTCTTATTGTGCTACAGAACAAGCCAGACAGAGGAACGTTAGGAAAGCACAGGAATGCCCACACCCGGGCAGCACTGCGAGATGACTATTTCCTCTTTCACCATTTGCTCGTGCAACGAGACAAGATCTTCAGATCATAACTGGCCTTTCCTTTTGTCCCATCTCTCCAAACAGATGCTGACGACCACGTCACATGTGACTGCTCTGTGACCTCACTCTCCATACTACAGAGCAAATGACAGCTGAGGGACAAGCAGAGCTACCTGCACCTGTGTGAGGCAGAACTACCAGAAGGAACTGCTTCCTGTGTCCTTTGCACGGCAACTTTTCTTTGGCAGGTTTCAGTTTATCATTTTACTAAACAACAGGCAAGTGATATGACACTTATCAATGCAGAAATGATCTGCAAACTAGAATTATTTGTCCCTAAAGTATGAATTTTCCATCAATAGTGCTTAATTATCTTCTACATTCTTAAAGGTGATCATGCCTCAGACTAAATTTTTGCTGTGGGGAATGTTTCTCTAAAATTATGTTCTAAGCTAGGCAGAAAAGAGTTTTAAATTAAAACAAAAAATTTAATTCATAGAAGATTTTCCAAAAAAGCAACCAAAGAATAATGCAATGTCCACCTATATCCATATTCTACTGCTAGAAAAAGCTTCAAATTGGAGATGGTCCATTGTACTCATACAAACAAATTTTAACTAGTTTTAATTTTTAAGTCTCAATAGAGTTTTTTCCCTGAAAATCATTCATTAACTGAATGATCTTCCTCAAATCGCTGGTAAAATAAAAATTTGGTTACTTCTCCTCTTCTAAGAAAGTATTTAAGAAACAAATAATAAAAAATGTGAAATATTATTCCCTTTCCTTTATATGAAGTCACTTATTTCATCATTTTCTTCAACTTTAGGTCATTCTTTTGAACAATTTTTAGAGAGAACTTTAAGCCATATTTAAGCCATACTCTTCATTGTGTAGAACATTGAAAATAAACTTAAAAATGCCTATTGCTAAATTGGTGTGGCCAATTTGGAAAGCAGTATGGAGACTCCTGGGAAAGCTGGGAATGGAACCACCATTTGACCCAGCTATTGCCCTTCTAGGACTATTCCCTGAAGACCTTAAAAGAGTGTACTATAGGGATACTGCTACATCGATGTTCATAGCAGCACAATTCACAATAGCTAGACTGTGGAACCAACCTAGATGCCCTTCAATAGATGAATGGATTAAAAAAAGTGGCATTTATACACAATGGAGTATTACTCAGCACTAAAAAATGACAAAATCATGGAATTTGCAGGGAAATGGATGGCATTAGAGCAGATTATGCTAAGTGAAGCTAGCCAATCCCTAAAAAACAAATGCCAAATGTCTTCTTTGATATAAGGAGAGCAACTAAAAACAGAGCAGGGAGGAAGAGCATGAGAAAAAGATTAACATTAAACAGGGATGAGAGGTGGGAGGGAAAGGGAGAGAGAAGGGAAATTGCATGGAAATGGAAGGAGACCCTCACTGTTATACAAAATTACATATAAGAGGATGTGAGGGGAAAGGGAAAAAAAAATCAAGGGAGAGAAATGAATTACAGTAGATGGGGTAGAGAGAGAAGATGGGAGGGAAGGGGAGGGGGGATAGTAGAGGATAGGAAAGGCAGCAGAATAGACACTAGTATGGCAATATGTAAAAACGTGGATGTGTAACCGATGTGATTCTGCAATCTGTATACGGGGTAAAAATGGGAGTTCATAACCCACTTGAATCAAATGTATGAAATATGATATATCAAGAGCTTTGTAATGTTTTGAACAACCAATAAAAAAAAATGCCTATTGCCAAACGGTACGTAGGATGTGAGGATATACACAGATAAATCTTTACCTAAAGGTTTTCTCACGGCAGCTGAGAAGATTCAACCCAAGGCTCTAGTTGCTCTCAGCCTCACTCATCTGGCAGAAAATCTAATGCTGCCTTCCGTGAGACAGGCAGAGCAGGAGACTGGGTCTTCACTGCTGTAGTGCACAGCATACTGGGGTGAGGGAAAGCACCAAGCCATCCCGAGCTCTTTCCACCAATACATCCCAGAACCTCAGGCAGGACGCCCAACCCACTGGCAAGAAATCTAATAGGAAAATAGAGGGGACTGTTGGCCACTCCTCTGCACTAATGTCTGGGATCCTTGCTCCTGGGTCACCCCGAGTGGTGGGTGTATGTGGTTCCCCCTGGCGGAGGTCTGCTTACTTTGATAAACGCTTCATACACATTGAGCATGGTGAGGTGATCGCCCTCTTCCACAGCAAATTTTCGGTGCACCCGCATCTGGAAAGAACAAAGCTCCGTTGAGACGCTGCCTCCTGCGGGCCTCCCTACTGGGGGTGACACTGTGCAACAAACAGCATGTGGCTGCAGATTCAGAAAGGCCTGGCTCACACCATCCTAGCTGTGCCACACCTGAAAGCCCTCAGCTTGGTTATGCACCTTTCTCAGCCTCAATTTCCTTATCTGTAAAATCAAAGAATTAAACCCTTCCATCAAGGTTGCTGTGGGTTAAGATAATTTTCAATAAAGTGCCTAGAATAGGAGGAGGATGCATGTGAGCGTTCTCGTCTCTCTTCTCCTTGGTCCTGCAGGACTCTTCTTTCAGAAACACTCTTCCCAGGCTCCAGGAGGCAGGGGGTGGGCTGCCTGGCTGGCTGGCACATGGCGGACACTCCATAGCCTAGGCCGCCACTGATGCACATCCTTTCAGAGCCCATCCCTGAATTCTTTTTGTAAGACCTGGACAGTGCGATTCGTTCCCCAGGGGCAGTACACTAATGCACACCTTAGCTCCAGAACTTCATCCTTGAAGCAAATGTCACATAATCACTCACCTTCCTCCCTTTCTCCCCTCCTTCCTCCCATTCATTAAGAGATTTCCATCAAGTACCTACTAGAGGCCAGGCCCTGTGCTAAGCACCTGGAATACAACAGTGAATAAACAGTGGTGAGAAGGACAACAAATGAAGTAAGTGAGCAAAAAACACGCAGTCTCTGGATGGCAAGAAGTGGCAGTGGCCTGCTATGCAGTTTTCTCCTTTTGAAAGTGAGTTTGTCCACCCTGAGGCAGGACTGTCACGAAAGTTCATAAATGGACAAACAACCTGAGAAAAAGGACATTACCATCTGGGCACAAAGGCAGGAAGGGTACAGTAGTGTACAGACAAACCGCTGTCAGGGAGGGTGAAACAGGTGTCCTCGCTGCACACCAGACCCTCCCCCTGTGCAAGGTGGCTGCTCTCCCCAGGAAGCGGACTCCAAGTGCACCTGAGTGGCCTCCAGGGGACACCTCCCCTTGGCCAGCTGAGTGCAGCCCAGTGCTTTCCCTCCAGGCTTTCCAGGGCTCACTCGCTCAGCACTACTGCCTGTGCCCTAGGCAGGTCTTGGTGGCTGGATTTTAGCTTCACATGCCCACCTGCGGCACCACCCTGACAGTGCAGCACCTAGAATCAGCCTGCTTGGCACAGGCACCTGACTGATTATGTCACTAATGTGCCTACTAAGGATTCTGCCAGAGCAGCCTGGATGACAATTTCCTTGATGGGAACTAATAGTCAGCAGTGCAGTGGTGAGGTCTGGGGCTGTAGACCTTGAAAGCCAACACCGCCAATCCCAGCTGTGCAACCATGAAGGAGTTACCTAACCTTTCTGTGCCTGTATCTTTGAAAGATGATAATAATATCCACCACTGAGGTTTATGGTGAAAATAAAATGAGACTGTGCACATAAAATGCTTAAACACAATGTCAGGCACACGGTAAACACTCAAAATGTGAGCCAGCAACCTCGGCACAGCTCCGTCTTCAGCAGCTTCTGCGTGAGTTTTAACAACAAACACCCCTAGTGAACGAGAATAAGGCGAACAGTGCAGGGGACGTTGGACTTACTGCCTGAGACTTCTGGTTTGAGGGGATCACAAAGACATTCTGGATCTGCATCATGGCTGCAATGCTTAGAATTTCCTGAGAACAGCCAAAATTTCCTGTAAGACAAAAAGCACGTTTGATTGCCAACATCTAATGTGTCCACAAGGCATAAAATACATTTTTCCATACATACTGTAAAATGAGACAATATTTTATATGGTCTAATTTTCTGAGTATAAACATGTACAAACTTAAATAAATACTTCACCCTGCCAAGTGGAATGAGGCCCAGCCTCGAGAGATTCTTAGAAAAAAATCTGCTCTGTTACTCGGCAGCTGTGACAGTGAGTGAGGGCTTCGCCACCCGTCAAGGTGGGTCCAGACTGGCCCTGTCAGCTCAGCTCCATACCCACTCCTTGCTCTCTTACTCGGACACCTGGAAACCTGGCTTCAGCCTGGGGGGCAAGTGGGGTGAGGGGGGCAAGGGGAACTGCAGGTGTGGGCTGTAGCCCTCGTGCTGCTTCTCTGCTCCTAGGCCCTTCTGTAAGGTGGTGGCCTCTCAGAAGTGCTCACAAGGGCTCATCTCACCTGGGAAGCCCAAGGCAAAACTAGACCAGGACAGCACCCTGGGCTACTCTGTGGCTCCTGGAACAGAATCTGCAGCAACCAACCCTCTAGGGTACTAGACAGACCAAACCACACTGCCCGCCCCACCTGCCCGCAGCTTCCCGCCTGATGCACACAATGCCAGGCTTAGAACCTGCTTCTGTATAAGGCCAACCATGGCAACTCGTTTCCCAGCTCTCACCATGTGGGTTGAAATGAATTACACCTTCATAAACAAATTAGACAAAAAAAAGAAAAAGTTCATATTACCTTTCCAGGCAGGGAGGGACAACCTATACTCTCTAGATGATTCTGGTCTCTACCTAAATAGTTCTCGAGGTTTGACCTTTACACTAGAACTTATGTCCTCACAAAAATCTGAAAGTAGCAGAGAAACTGGAAGCCTGTGTACTGCTGTTGTTAGGAAGGCAAATGGTACAGCCACTGTGATAAATAGTACGACAATTCCTCAAAAAATAAATCTGCGTACAGCCATTCTAGGAAATAGTAGGAAGTTCCTAAAGAAACTAGAATTAGAATTGCCATATGATCCAGCAATCCCACGACTAGGTATATACCCCAAAGACTGAAATTGGCATGTAGAAGAGAACTCTTCACTCCCATGTTCATTACAGCAACATTCACATCAGCCAAAATATGAAAGCAATTTAAATGTCCATCAGTGGGTAAATAGATAAAGAAACTATGCTATATACACGACTGAATAGCATACAGCCTTTAAAAATGAAGGAAATTCTGTCATTTAAAGACAATATGAACGGAAATGGAGTACAACATGCTAAGTCAAATAAGCCAGGCACAGAATGACAAACACTATAGAATTGTACTTATGTGTGGAATCTGAAAAAGTCAATCTCATAAAAACAATGAGCAGAAATAGTTGCTGGAGAGAAAAGGGGGAGTAGGGGAAAGGGAGACGTTGATCAAAGGACACAAAGTTTTGGGTAAGAGAGGGTAAGTTTAAGTGATCTGTTGCACTGCATTGTGACCACAGTTAATAATAACATAATGTATGGTTCAAATTTACTAAAATGATAGACTTTCAACATTATCACCATAGAAAAATGATGAGTTGGTAAGGTAATGCTAATATGATATGCTAATAAGCCTGGCCAACTCTTTCTACTGTCCACACACACACACACACACACACACACACACACATACATACATAGATCAAAACGTCACATCGTACCCCATGAATATATACAATTATTATCTATTTATTAAAAACAAATACTCTTTTTAAAGAAACTTAACAGAATGATCATATGACCTGATAATTCACATTTGGGTATCCACCCAAAAGAAGTGAACACACAGATTCAAAGATACAATTGCACATCCGTGGTTACTGCGGCATCATTCACTACATCCAAAAGATAGAAGAATCCTGAATGTTCACCAACAGATGAACAAATACTCAAAATGTGGTATATACATACAATGGAAACTTGTATGTAGAAAATTCTGAAACATGCTATGGCATGGAGGATCCTTTAAAGATATAATGTTAAACAAAATAAGCTAGACACTATATAGTTCTATTTGTGTGAGATTCCTAGAGGAGCTGAATCCTCAGAAACAAGAAGTAGAACAGGAGTTAGTGTTAATGGGTAAAGATTCAGAGGGGAGGACAGAAGAAAGTCCACAAATGGCTGGTGCTGACGGCTGCATACTAATGTGAACGTACCCAGCGTCTCAGAACTACATACCTGAAAATGGTTAAAGTGGCAAATTATCTCTTCCTTATTGTTGATGCTGTCTAACCACCACTGGACGCTCTTCCTCAGGGTGCACAGAATTTAGGGAAACAACTCCTCTGACAATCAAAATAAAATCAACATAAGTTGTCGGGGTCTACCCACCTGACTCAAGCAGCATTTTGGCGAACATGGGATTCAAAGGAAACTCTGCTATTCTCAGGCCAAGTGGTTCAGTTAAACGACAGTCTTTGTCTAGACCTGCCAAAAGAAGAGAACAAAAGATAGCAGAAAGCATGTACCCTTGTGTTGGGAGATGCACACTTGTTGAGAGAATAAAAAATGATGAATGCTAAAAATGGTACCCAATAGATGACTCTTGCACTATTCAGTCTGACAGCAGAGTGCTGTTCTATCAAAAGAAGAAAAGATCTCCATGGAGTTCCTAAATCCCCAGTTTTTAAAAAACTGCTGCTTATAATGACTTCTATTCAAGGACTTTATTTATAAAGAAAATGGCCCTGCAACGACCTCTTGCTCTCACTCTCTCCTCAACCCACAGCAGCCTCCCTCCACTCCTGCTGCCTCCCAGAGGGGCTCTTTAGCAGCCCCGCAGCCAGGCCACCCAGACACACCGAGGCCCTCTCCTCCCACTCTCCACAGCCTTTGCCTCTGCTGACCTCAGCCTGGCCTCCTGCTAGCTCCCGTGACCCCTGCTCTCCTGGGTACCACCAGCTCCTTCACTGCTCTCCTCAGTCACCTTCTGGGCTGCCTTCCACATCCAGGCCAGGCCAGGCCACAGATGTGCCAGGATGGCATGCTGTGCCCCTGCTCCTCTCAGACCAGGAGAGCAACTGTTACAGCAACTCTGCATCTGAATGCTAGCCCGGACCCCTCTGGCGCCAGCTCAGGCCTGTTTACCCAACTGCCCCGGGCATATTCCTTCAATTCCTCCCCTTTCCTCCATGCCTCTCTTCCACTCGCCAATATCCAGGTATGGATTCCCGAGACCACCAAGATGTAGACTACCGAGTAAAATAAACCTTACAAGAGCTCAGAGTAAAACAGAAAAGGTCATTTCTCTTCTGTTTCAATATAATCATCTTTTTAAAGGTGAAACTAAATTAAGATGGGGGTTTCCCTCAACCTTTGCCAGCTAATTTGGAGCAGTGAAGAAATAGGAAAATTTGTTCTGTTTGGAGGAAAATCAAACCAAATGAAAAATACCCATATCATTAATGGTCTGGCATCTGCATTAAAGATAACCTTGCTTTGGAAACCCATTCCAGCACACAGTCACTCGAGGCTGATCTTCTGTGGGCCAAGCTGAAGATTTTTAAATCAATGGAGAGCTTTTTAACCAGTAATTGGCTATTTCCTCAGAGCGGTATTATAAATATGGAATGAAAATGGACCCCTATCACACCCCAAACAAAAATTAACCAAAATGGATCACAGACCTAAATGTAAGAGCCAAAAACCATAAAACTCTTTAAAGAAAACCTAGGAGTAATGACCAGGGGTTAGGCAAAGTTTACTTTTTGTCTTTGTTCTTCCCCAGGAACAAAGTCAGGACCTCACACAAGCCAAGCCAAACACTTGCTCTACCACTGAGTTGTATCTCCAGCCCCAAGGCAATATTTTCTTAGACATGACACCAAAAGAACAAGTGACACAAGAAAAAACAGATAAATCGACCTACACAAAAACCTAAAACTTCTGTATTACAAAACGATACCATCAAGTAAATGAACAGCCAACACACAGAAATGGGGAAAGGAGTTACAATTCACATACCATATAAGAAATCTGTGCCCGGAATACATAAAGAGCTCCTCCAACTCAGTAATAAAAAGACAATAACCCAAGCAAAAATGAGCACAGAATTTGAACCTTTCTCAAAAAAAAAAAAATACAGTTAGCCGTTTATATTTGCGGGTTCCACATTCTTGGATTTGATCAACAATGGTTCATAAATATTTAAGAAAAAAATTACATCTATACAAATCATATATAGATTTTTTTTTCTTACCATTAATCCCTAAAAAATACTGTAGAACAAGTATACAGAGCATTCACATTGTGTTAGGTATTATGAGAACCTACAGAGGATGTGAAATACACTGGAGAGTGCGCACAGGTCATATGCAAACACTGCATCACTTCACATAAGACTGGAGTATCCATAGATATTGGCATCAGAGGGGGTCCTAGAATCAATGCCCCAGGGATACCTATGGGATGAGACACATTGTATACAAATGGCAAATAAGCAAATAAAAAAATACTCAATATCATGAGTCAGAAGGGAAATGCAAAACAAAACCACTAGATACCATTCCCTACCCATTAGGAAAGCTATGATACAAAAGACAAAGGGTAACAAGTACTGGCAATATGGAAAAACTGGACTCTCACACATAGTTGGGAGAATGCCCAGCAAAAATCTGTAGGCCTGCCAGGAGCAGTAGTACACGCCTATAATCCCAGCAGCTCCAGAGGCTGAGCCTGGAGGATGGTGAGTTCAAAGCCAGCCTCAGCAAAAGCAAGGTGTTAAGCAACTCAGCAAAACCCTGTCTCTAAATAAATTACAAAATAGGGCTGGGGATGTGGCTCAGTGGCTGAGTGCCCCTGAGTTCAATCCCCAGTACCACACCCTGAAAAAATCTGTATGTTAATGTGCAAAGCATTATTATTCATACTAGCCAAAAAGAGGAAACAACATAAATGTCTATCAGCTAATAAATGGATAAAAATTTTACATGGCTTATCCATACAATGGAATACTATTCAGCAATAAAAATGAATGAAGGACTGATATATCCTACAACATGGATGAGCCTTAGAAACATACTGAATGAAAGAAGCCAATCATAAAAGACCTCATATATGATTCCATTGATGTAAAATGTCCAGAATATGCAAATCTAGAGAGATAAATTAGTAGTTGCCTGGGACAGGGGAGTAATGGAAATGGAGACTATGTGCTAATGGATATAAGGTTTCTTTTCTGAGTTACGAAAGCATTTTAAAATTAGACTGTGGTGAAGAATGCACTACCCTTTGAGTATATCAAAAGCTACTGATTCATACACTGTAAATGACTGAAATGTATGGTATGTAAATCACACCTCAATAAAGTCATTTTTTAAAAAAAGAAACATGAAAATATACCTGAGGGGGGAAAAAACCCACTAAAATTTAATAACCAAACTGGATGGCAGCCATGTGGGGCACCCTTCAGAGCAAGTCAGTACTTCCTGAAGATGAGTTCAAGTTATGATTTTTCTCCATCTTCAGGTACAAAACAACGTTCTCAGATAAGCAAATAGAGGCTCCTCTGTAACAGACTATTTCCTTCCCAAACAATTCCCCTGACTGGTGATCTCCCCGTTCCCCAAGGAAACTCCAGGAACAAAGTACAGGAATATGAGGAAAGAAACACTGAGCCACAGCTTTCAGGATGAGGTAGGGGCAGGAAGAAAAGTTCCGAGGAGGTACCCTCTGCCCTCTGCTAGAGAATCACTCATCTCTGATGTCTCTGAGGAGTGTGGCCCTAGTGATAGTCACCTAGCTGCTATGTACTAGAATGCTTTATAAACTGTCATAATCTAATTATGATCCCAACTTCTATTTCAGTAGAGTGTCATGAAAAAGATAACACAAATGAAGAGGATCCACCCCGTTCCTGAAGATACTAGGAGTGCCAGAGTGACTGCAACAGACTCCATCCTGGGGGAACACACGTAAGAGAGAAAGAGGCATACCTCCCAGAGCATAGAGTAACTCCAAAGCTTGAACCATCGACTGTGCTGGAGGGGGCTGTAAAACACATAAAAGTCCTCCTGAATTAATTTCTCTGGGCAAGGAACAGAAAGATGTGAGCATTTCCTATTCAAATCCACTTTCCCTCTAGCATGTCCCATTCCTCCCAGGCTCCGTGCTTCTGTTCCTGCTGCTGGTGCCCCTTGAATGTCCTTCCAGCCTTCCTGGCACCCTCGGTACTGCTTGGCCTTTAAGGCTCAGCTTGATTAAACAATTCCCCTGGCAGCCCTTCCCCCGCTTCCCTTCCCCGAGGTGATGGTCCCTAACTTAAACTACCTCTTCGTTTTCCCTAAATACTCCTCAGACATTGCTACTGTTTACTTCACAGTCTTGACATTCTCCTGGGAGCCCCAGGATACAGCAGTGCTCATAGACGATTTATTTTTGCATCACCCAGAGGCAAAGCCCATGGAGGGTTAAAAACATTTGTTGAATTTGCATTTCTGATAACAAACGGGAATGCTGGATGATCAACAGTTAAGCAGAGCTGACGGTGTGACTCTCAGCCTGATTCTCTAGATCCTAACCTCCTTCTGTCCTCTGCAAATCTTTACTGAGCACCTACAAAGTGCCATTATTTCTTCTCTCCAAATTATGTGGTTTTGAATAAGTCAGGTAATAAAATTATACTGCTTTTCAAACTGCATGGCTTTTCTTCTAGATGCATTCAGATAACAAATGTATTTTAAGCATCACATTGTTTAAGCTCAATGTTACAGATGAGGAAAGTGGAAGACATTTGAACAAGGTCACACAGGCAGTTTGTGGCAAAGTCAGAAGCTAAGTTCAGGTTTCATGTTTTCCATTTTACCTCATCCACTTTGTTTGCCAAAGTCAAACTCCTAAAAGCTCAGGTGCACAAACCACAAAGGTGTGGACCAAACTGCAAAGAGGGCACTCCACAGACCACTGGGAGCAAATCATGTAACTGGCCCACTGCCTCTCCTCATCCTATGACATCTCTTTCTTCAAAGAGGCAAAATGCACAGTTCACAAATGTAGGAGCTTAAACCTTCTAGGGATCGTTAATACTGAGGTTATATTAATAGGAATAGCGAAGCTCTGATCCAGGCTCTGAACAATTACAGAAACAAGGTTCTCTTGACTCCTTTCAATTCTGACCCTATTTCAAATCACTTACCATCAATCAAAAAAACTTACTCCCCAGACCCCACAAAAATCATTTCAAAAGTATTTTCATCTAAATGAACATTCATGGTACTCCTCTAGGACTTCATCTGATTTGGGATCACAGCAACCACAGTTTTAATATATTTGGAATTACTGTGCATGTATAATTTGTTTGTTTTTCTCATGTTTTCCTTGTTTCTTATACCCACAAGACGCCCCACTAACTACTTGGGATAGCTGCCTAATAGGCATTTTGGTCATACTCCATCAAGAAGTCAGTTTTCCCATTTCTGGGCAAATGAGTGCTTCTCGTTTTTCATTTTTCTAATTAACATTCCTAAACATATAAAATTACATGTATCCTGTGATTGCCACTGTAAAAACACAGTTTCAGGAGAATGCAGCCAGAAAGGAATGAATAAAAATAAATCTGTATGTGTGTTTTTATTTTTCAATCATCCAAAAGTTTTATTATGATTTCATTATCTATACTTTTAAATTTTGATATAAAATAGTGCTAAAAACATTATCATCTATGTAAGCATTTTTTTCTTCTTTCAAATTACTTTCTCAGGAGAAACTTCCATGGGAAAAAATAGCAGGCATTTCCGTGGTTCATAAAATATTGTCAGAAAGTACCTCCCAAGGACCAAAACAGAACATAAAACCATCAGCAATACACAGGGCATTGACTCTGCCAAATTGTTGTTAGCTCTGGATTTCATCATTTTTCTTAATAGTTGATCATTTAATTAGTGTAAAATCGGGCTTTGTAACTACATCTTCCGTGGAGGAGAACATGTCTTTATGTCAATTTATAATTTGTGCTGCTTCCTCCCCTTAACTTATCCTTTATTGGATATTTGATTTATTCAAAATGAATGCATTTTGAAAACTCTTGGTATTTCTTAAGACACTGATAAGTCATTTCTGCCATTATGTTTTCCTTTAATCTTAGATATGGGACTTTTCCTAAGGTTATATTTGCATACACTGTTCATCTTTTCTTTATAGTAAGTATCTTATCCTATACAGCAGTAGTCAAGGGAACATTTATTCTGTGCTTACGGTGAGCACACAATAGCTTCTTTGAGGAGCTGGGATTTGTTGGGTTTTTTTTTTTTTTTTGCAGTTTTTTTGTTATCCAAAATCCAGACTTGTCACACCATAAACCATGATAGCCAGGATGGAACAAATGAGTGAACATGTGAGTCCTCAACCACAGAAGTCCTCTAGGAAAATACTCATGAATGTCTACTAACTAACCTAGTAGAAATCATGAGGATGAAGACAGAAGGTTTTGTTTTGGTTATATTTAGAATGACTGCACATTTTTAAAAAAAGTCAAATAAAAAATACTGGCAAGAAATGTTACAAACAAAGGTTGATGTCTTTAATGAACTCTTGAATAATTCCATAATCCTAGCAGACAAATGACTTAAAAATTCTGATTAGCTGGGTTCAATGGCACATGTCTATAATCCCAGCTACTAAGTAGGCTGAGGCAGGAGGATCAAAAGTTCCAAGCCAACTGGGCAGCTTAGAGAGAACCTGTCTCAAAATTAAAAGGACTAGGGTAAAGTTCAGTGGTAGAGCACTTGCCTAGCATGGTCAAGGCCCCAAGTTCAATTCCAGTACTACCAAGAAAAAAAGACATAAAACTGGCCATAATTTTTTTTTTAATCTATGAGAAAAAAAAAAAATTAGTGGTATAGATAATGACCTCCGTCTCCCTCTCCCTCCCTCCCCTTCCCTCCCTTTTTACCTCTCTCCAATCACATTAGCAAAACTCTAAAATTTAGACAATGACCCAGCATGATCAGGGTACCACATACCAGGCCTGCTGGAGCCCATGTCAGTACAGCCATCTGGCCAGGTATCCACAGTCACAAAAGACTATGGACCTTTGGCCCAGCATTCTCAGCAACCTGGCTTAGGAAATCAAAAATCAGCCATAGGGTCTTCCCTACAATTCTTCCAAAACCTTCTTGGCTTCCCCGGTCGCAATACTCTTGATCATGCAGGACTATCCATGAACCCACTGTCCTGGACCCTTCACCCTTCCTTACCTGGTGGAAAACCCTGCTTAGGTCTCAGATTTCACCCCAGGACTAAAGGGGCAGGGAGTTCTTCCTTTGTCTCTCAGAGCACAAGGCACATTGCTCTGTAATTTACCCACTTACTGGTCTCTCTCCCCCAGCAGACAAGAACTGGAATTACCAACAAACTAAGTGTGGCTGCTTGTCTCACCATCTCCCCCATACCCTGCTTTGGACCTTGAGCCAAATTAGTCCCAACACTTAAGCTGAGTGGGAAAAAGAAAGATGGCATGGTCTTCACAACATGCCAACATCCCCCTGAAAGCCCCCCACACAGAAGATCGGACTTACCGACATGAAATGAAACCTGAGGACGTTGTCAATCCCTAGCGCTTTCAGCTGCAGGATGACAGGGGCCAAATTGCTCCGCTGCATCTCAGGAACAGTAGACTGAGGCAACTTGTCGAAGGCTTCCTCTGAGGATAGTAAATCAGAACAGTCAGGGATCCAATGTGACAGCCAAATGCAATCACATACCAAAGGGACAGACTTCCTTTTCTACCTTGATCAAGAATCTCCAGGATTCTGAGACCAGATGCACATGACCTTGTAACGCAAGGTTTTTATATTTACAAAAGACCCTTCTATTTAAAAAAAAAAAAAAAAAACTTTAGATACTACATTCTAACAATACTCCTTTATAAAAATTTGTCCTTTTACTTTAGAATGTTGTTTTTCAAATGCTTTTTCTGAGAAAAATATCAAAGCAGCAAGTATTTGCTGAAATCACTATTGTTACCCAGTTATCGTCATCTCTTGGGTAGAGAATGTCAAGGAGGCAAGAACTGCACATATAAGCAAAGAGCGATTTTAAAATAGATCACCAAAACTGCATCCAGAATACAACAAATGACTGAATTTATAAAAAGTAAAAATTGTCCAAATCTAATTTTTTAAATCAATAAGCAAAAAGCACAATGTCACACCCAGAATCCAATGTTGACCCAAATAGATTAATGAATAGATTAATGAATGCTTACATGCCCCATAGCAACAAAAGATGACCTAAAGCAGGAAAAAGTACTTCGTGGCACAGATATCCTACACTAGGAGGGGCAGGAAAAGAAGTGGGAAGGAAGAGACTTAGGAAGGCCTTTTATAAAAACTAGACAAAAGGGTACAGGGAAAGAGGCAGAGGAGATTAAATTATTTTTGTGTATATACAGACAATGCTCCACCCACAAAACCCTCCCACATCAGTCAACATTTTAACAGATGTACACCCTTCTTAAACACCACGGTGGCCCAACCTCCATTTAGACCATAAAGCTTTAGTGAACTAGGGGAAAAAAAAAATGAAGCAAAAGGTGATATGAAGAAATAGCACAAAAGGTTTTCCTTGAGAAGACAGACAACCAAAAGTCTAAGGACGGTGATATAAGTTGCCATATGCATGGGTCTACCCAGGAAGTTGTGGATCCCGAGCAACAGCAGAAGTTCCAAGCAGATACTAGTTTCAAAAGCATCTTGGATACAGTTTTTTGGCAGGAGAAATAAACTTCCCAAATACACTATTCTGGCAAGGGAAAAACAATCATCAGATGAGAGGCCGGCCCTGCTCGGGGGCGGCTCACAGGAAGCAGGTGCATCCTCAGAGGTCAGTGGTGCTCAAGCTCTGGTGAGGCGCCTAGGCCAGAAGCCACAGGCCAACCCCTAGAACAGCATCAGTGACAGGAAGGGGCCTGGACCAAGACCGACTGCTCTGCAAGGAGGAACAGATTAGGTCCCATCAAGGGGTCCTCCAAAGAGAAGCGGAGGCTTGGGGAAAGAGGAAAGAATGGTCACCAGAGAAGGCTCTAGAGGAGCCCCATAAGGAGTTGCCACTGAGGGGACTTCGGGGCTAAAGAGGTTTTGCTGGGCAAAAATGAAAAAGCCCAAGGAAAGGCATCCGAGGTCTGAGTAGCGGATGCAGGAAGCAGAGGGCACATCCAAGAAGAGTGCAGTTCAGCTGAGAAGCCATGTTGAGCAGATGCAGATGGTGAGTGAGAGGAGATAAGCTGAGGAAGAGTTCTGGAAGGTTCAGAAAACTGTAAGGTCTGTGAGAGGTGTGCTGCCTAAAAGCTACACTCTGGAAGCCTGAACGCTGGACACTGTGCACTTGTTACTACCCAGTGGCCCCTCCCCAACACCACTTCCACTGAAACGCCATGCAAAGGGACTCGATGATCTTTCACCTAAATCCACCTGAATACCTCTAGTCCACACTCTATTACATGATTTCTTTGGCACAAGAGATGGGTGCTGACCATGACTCTTTCAGAGTAATTTGAGCCAGGCATGGTGACACACACCTATGATCCCAGCAATTCAGGAGGCTGAAGCAGAAGGATCTCAAGTTCCAGGCCAGCGAGGCAACTCAGTGAGACCCTGTCTCTAAAAAATAGAAAGGGAAGAACATCCCTGGGTTTGATACCCAATACCACCAACAGGGAGGAGGGAGGAAGGGAGGGAGGGAGGAAGGGAGGAAGGGAGGAAGGGAGGGAGGGAGGGAGGGAGGGAGGGAGGAAGGAAGGAAGGAAGGAAGGAAGGAAGGAGGGAGGAAGAAGTAACTGAGTTCTTAAAAAACTAAACATGAAATTACTATATCACCCTGCAAAAAACAAAAGAATTAAAAACAAGTTCTCAAGTACATGTACATGCATCTCACAGCAGCACTACTCAAAACAGCCAAGGTGGAAACAGCCCAAATGTTTACCAACTGATGAATGAATAAACAAACAAATGGTTGGTTTTCCATACAATGGAATATTATGCAATCATAAAAAGGAATGACAAATGGCATACATGCTACAATGTAAACGGCCTTTGAAAACATTGCACTAAAGAAGTCAGACACAGAAGATCACGTATTATATGAAGGTCACATGCTGTATGAAGGTCGCATATTGTATGACTGTATTTATATGAAATATCCCAGATAAATCCATGGAAGCAGAACACAGATTGGCAATTGCCAGGGATAGGAGGCCAGGAAGAATGGGGAGAAACTGCTTAAGTAAGGGTTTTCCACTGGAGGGATGGAAATGTTTTGAAACTAAACAAAAGGAGAGGTTGCATATACTGTTCACTCTAAAATGGCTGACTTATGTAAATTTCACCTGAATAAAATTTAAAATATATAAGATTATATATAAATATAGATACATTCTTGAAACTTCCTCCTCCTCTGCATTTCAGGGTGCCTTTTCATCCTGGTCTTTGCCCACTCCAATCAGGCTTTCTTAGCACCTTCAGGGGTTGTCTGTACCTCTCTGGCCTCGGTTTTGCCTGTGATGCTCCACATCCCCTTCCTCCCCTCCCAGTACTTATATATCCCATTCCCTTTGCCTGGAGTGCTGAAATCTTTTTTCTAAGACCTCCCATTTACTTGGATAAATACTTGGTTTCCAATAAGGTCAGGTCCAAACACAACCTTAGTTGTGAAGCACTTTCCAGTTCCCCAGCAAAAAAAAAAACACGAGCCCTTCTCTGTTTCCAAGAGCCCCTATTCTCTACAGTAATCATACCACACCTTAACATGCTAATCTGTTAGTGGGTCTGTCTCCACCACCAGATTGTCCACCATGCGGCCACAAGCCTAATTCCACGAGCCCTAGATTCCCAAGCCTCAACCCCATGTCCAGCATGCAACCGAGGCTCTGTAAACATTTGCTAAAAGAAAGAAGGTCGGGGTATAGCTCAGGGTGGAACACTTGCCTAGCACATTCAAGGCCCTGGGTTCCATCCCCAAAACCAAAAAAGAAAATAAGGAAAGACAAAATGACATCAAGAACTGAATAAGGATGATAGGAACCAGAAAGGAAGAGAAGCAATAAATGGCAAAGCTACAACCTTCAGACCTGGGCAGCAACAGTAGGGGATAGGGGAAGGAGGAGGGACTCAGTAATGATTGGCCAAGTCTGCACAAGGGAAGAAGAAAAAGATCTCAGTACCACTCCCCTCAAAAGCAAAGAGTAGAAAGGGAAGGAGCAGCTCTAGACACATCTTTTTGGTTAAAGCTGTCTCCAAGCTGGGAAGAAAGCTCTTAAGGGCAGGGGTGTCTGGATCAGAATTTTAATTTTGCTCCCTCACAGCCTAGCACAGTACAGGGCATAGAGCAGGAGTTTACCAACTATTTGTATTCTGTGACCGGGTCTTGGATAGAGCTTTCATCCTAGCTCTGCAAGATGGAATGGGACCAAGGTGAGGTCCCACAGGATTCAGGGACCTCAGAATAAGAAAAAAGCACATTAAGTTAAGAGAAAGGTGAGAAAGACCGAACCTGAGACGTAAAATCCATAGAGTCACATGGCCACAGAAGGGCCTGGGCCCCAATCCTAAGTTAGAACGGGATGGAAAACAGGCGGTGACTTGCTGGGCCAGCTTTAGCCAATGGGGAAGAGTAAAGAAGCGCTATGCTTAGGGCGAGGAAGGTGGCGGGGGCCAGATCACAGGGTGTCCAGGCAGGGAGGACTGGATTTTACATGCGTTCTGCCACAGGGATAAACATTTACTACGTTATCCAAGGCCCAGGCTAACTATGAGAGTCAAAAACCCTTAAGGGGAGTCGCACTAACCTGTATAAAGGCGGTAACACTTTCCAGAGCGGTTGCGCCCACCGCGTCCTGCGCGCTGGTTGGCTGACGCCTGGGACACAGGAACCACCACCAAGCATTCTATAGCCGTCCTGGGATTGTAGGCCCGCAGTTTCACAAAGCCACAGTCGATCACATACACAATGCCACCGATTGTAATGGAGGTTTCTGCCACATTGGTGGCCACTATCACCTAAGTCCCCCACAGAAAGAAGAGTAAGAAGGAAAGCCGTTGATTCTTTTCACTGTAAACAAACTTAAAAATCCTAAACATGTAATGATATTTCAAATCAGGATCTGTGAAGCAGTTGAGATACTAGACAGAGCAGCAGTTTCAGAGTTGGGAGCCCTGGGCTGAAATCCTCCCGAATCCTGGGTCCCTGGAGAAGCTCCTTGACCTCCTGAGCGCTGGTTCCTCACTTACATAATGACAATTACCACGTCCCCCGGGGTTGCTGAGGGATTAAATAACAATACATATATCCAGTGATAGAACCTAATACTGGGCACATGGTATCTATCAACGTTAGTTTTTCTCTTTCACACAGCATAAGTAAATCTCCGTCTCATCCAGGTATATTCACTGATTTGCTCACATTATAACTAGTTTCTGAGGGTCTGCACTTGACCAGGCACTATCCAAGATGCAGGGGATATATGATGGGCAAGATAATCAAGGCCCCACTTCTCCAGCAGTTTAGTGACGGTGTTTGGGATGGAAATACAGCAAGAAGAGAACTTCAAAAAATGACACAAAAAAAACACAACCCAGCAGTGTAACATGCTGGGGTACATAACGTTTATATTATACTAACAAGGCATGCTACTTTGGAATGGAGGGCCAGGGAGAGCCCTCTGAAAGATGACTTTGACTGAGGCCTGAGTAACAGGAAGCAGCCAACTCTACAGAGATGCAAGTAGAAGCTACAGTTCAAAGGAAGGAGTAGCCACCAATATGACCAGAACACAGAGCAAGTACAGGATGAGCTTGGGGACAGAGGCAGGGCCCAGGTCACGTGCAATCTCTGGGCCAGTGAGGTACTTTTTCATTTGTTACAAGTACACTGGGAACTAGTGGAGGGTTTAAGCAGCAGAGGACATGTAGATCATCACACTGGGAACTTTTTTCAAGCACTTTTCATTTTATAAAATCACTTTATAAAAAAATCTTCCTAACATTTTTATATATTAGAGTTTTATACTATAAAACCATTTATCACAAAGTTTTTATTATTTGTTTTACAGCTACAAATATTGAGACTAATGTTAAGTAACTTATCCTGAGGTGCACAAGTAACTCAGGGGATCCAAGCCTCCTGCTGGTTGGCTGCTATCCGCGTTTGCCTGGGCGACTCCAGTTGCTCCCTCTCAAAGGCCAAAAGGCTGGGCACCCTGTTCCAAGTGGCCTGATCAGCAAGGCCTCCACACACCACCCCACCAGCTTTGTTCTCTACCACCTGCTGGGCATTCCTCACCTAATGGAAGGCAAAGGACTGTAAAGCCCTGTGGGTGAGGAGCAGGAGTCACACTGGCTGATGGCCAGCTCCCTCTAATCAATGCTGCTTCCCACCACACCCTCCCCAACCCAATTTCAAGCCACTCCTTGAATTAATTGATTTAAGCTTGGCTCTACAGGTAAACTGATACTCAAAACAAGTGGTTCAGAAACTATTGGTAGTGACTTATCTATTGTTCCTAACTGACCACAAGCCAACAAGACAGATCTTTAAGCCAAGGCAGATTCCTACCCATGGGAATTACCAGGCAGGCAGAAGAGAAGTGAAGAGAAGTCACCTGCTCTAATAATTACTTTCAGAGTGACCCTCTGTGGAGCTCGTTTAGAAATCTTCACATTATTTACTATAACATGGTCTAAAATTCCGAAAGAAATTTTCCTATTTAGTAAGTTTCACTTCAATGTAAAAGAAAAATCCTTGCAGTATATGACAAAGTACTAGTATGACTATAGATGGTCGCAGACACCGTTGGTCATCAGGGTAGTCTCACCTTTCTGACACTGCGTGAGACCCTTTCAAACACTTTCATTTGCTCAAAGGAAGGCAGACCTGCATACATGGGGAGAACCCGGAGGTGCTTCTTCATTCCAGTGCGAGCGAGGGCCCGGGCCTGCTCGATCAGCATTGACACGACAGTTTCCACCTCTTCCTAAACATTGAACCACACACCAAAGAAACAGATCAACATGAAGCATGTCATTTTATCACACTGAAAAACAATGAAAGTTGGAGTCAGAATTTTAATTTTGGTCAGATTCATGAATTTTGGTGATACCACATTCTACTTGGGACGGTATTTGAACAAATGCTAGAACAACAGTGCCAGAGGGGTAAAAATTTGAAACTATAATATTAATCACTAAAACTAAACTACCTGTATAGGAACATTCCCGATAAATTAAAACAATGACAATTTTACTCAGTTTTATGGACTGAGAAAATAAAGCCTTCCGTGCAAAGGTCAAGTTATGGCCTATAAAATCATGAGCTTTTCCCAGAAAAGACTACTAACTGCAGAAAATGTTTGGCAGTGGAGAAGTTCAGAGCTGGAGGGTAGTTCTGAATAGTGTTACATCCTTGAGGGAGGACTTGGACTTATTCAGTTGTTTTTCCAGCAAGATAGCCACTGACCAACTCCAGGATGAATTATAAAGGTGTCACCAGAAAAAAGGCACACAGTGGCAACATGCATGCAGCAAGATGCACATGTTAACATAAAATCCTGGCCAACAAAACAGCCACTGACTCAATTATCTAACTAATCAGCTAATACATTTAACATACACTTAACCCTCTGCAGACAGAACAGGGAAGAGCTAATGATTCCCTGACAATCCAGTTGATAGATAACCCAACAATTTTTTATAAGCTAAGTAACTGCAAAATACAATGAGTCAGGTGCAATTATACAGGCCTACAATCCCAGCTATTTGAGAGGCTGAGGCAGAAAGATTGAAAGTTCCAGTCCAGCTTGGGGCAACTTAGTGAGATTGTCTCAAAATAAAACATAAAAAGGGCTGGAGTTACACATCAGTGGTAGTGCCCCTGGGCTCAAGCCCCAATACCACCCCCCGCCAAAAAAAGGGAAACACGAAAAAAATGGCTAAGCAGGAAAGTAGCAGGGCTCTACATTAATTCATGTGTTGCCTTAACATGTCTGTTCCTCAGGCCTGATGGAATTACCTGGCCAGTAAGAAAGGCTAGTATGTCTCCATCTCCCTCTGTCTGGTGAATTTTTACCACAGTTTCCACAGTTGATTTGATATAATCTGGAACAGGACTGAAAAGACATTGACATAAACTCATCACTAGAATATGCTCATTAATTATAGATCAATTACCTTATAATCTGGCAACAAAACCTCCTGAAAGTAAGTTTGGGCCTGCCCAACAAGTAATTAGTATGTGGATAAATAAAAACAAACATTCACTCTTTTTTACGCACTTTTTTTTGTGTAATCCATAATTACACAAAAGCTATGATTTTTAGCTATACTTGCAAACAAATAAAATTGATACAACATGCATACAGATGTGTTGTCTTAATGTACAAAGATGCCAGGCCAGGGAAAACCTGGGGCTGTGGCTCCAAAGCTGAAGCCCACCCTCTCCCTGGCTCATTTTCCCTTCTAGCCACGGGCAGCACATATGGGTCAGGTAGGCTAAGATGTATGTGCTCTCCAGCTACAGCAACTCCGAAGTCAAGTTCACAACTCTCTTAACACTCATTAGGCCAGGCCCTTGGTCAGTTTGCCCAATTAGGACCAAGAATTACAATGGCTCCTTTTCTGTTCAAGGGGGGATCCTCCCAAAATTGTCAATCAGGCCTTCTTACTAAGGATGTAGAGTGGACCCAGATCACCGTAGTACCCTCACTGACAGGCATCCGTGTAAACCCCAGTTCGAAAAACTCTCAAGCCTCTCCCTTCAGCCTTTCATCATCTTGCTCTTAATGCAAATTTGCATGACAGTGTCAACAATTCAGCAGTGACCTGAACAAAAACATGCTCCTCCTCACTGCCCTTACAGCTGCGAACAGACACAGTTCACTGCCATTCCACATTATAGGCCCAGGTTTCTAAACACTATCATCAAAAGTCAAACATCATCAAACCTTTGTAGATAAAAGATATCCACCGGAAATGTTCGCCCTTCCACTGTAAGGATCACACACGTATCCCTGGTTGGATCACTGGTTTCATTTTGATTAAAAAAATCCCGAAATTTCTAAAAAAAAAAAAATCAGTTTTTCATCTTCTCTCAAAAAACAAAAAGGTCACAGTATTTATGGAAAGAAAATAAAACTGGCAAAGGGCAGAGACTGGAGGTAGGGATTAGGGGTGTGTGTGTATAATACAGATAATGTATTGCAAAATAATGTTTACATTAACACTTTTCTTATTGAAAATGTGGGGAATCATGTTTCAATGATACTTTTTACCAAAGGATGCCAAACTTGTGGCATAGAGAATGATATTAAAAGCTCTAGCCAATGACTTCAGGAGATACCACCAAGATCCCCTCTTGGTAAGTGTCCCCCCAACATACTAAGGAAAGTGAGAAAGAAGAGCTACATGACTGAGTGACCACACAGGCGGTGAGTTAACACTAGATGCAGGCTGCTGGTGCCAGCTGGTGAGGAGACAGAGTCATCCAGGTAGGTTGAGGGTGCCATTATTTGAATCTAAATGACATTCCCATTCCCCAACTATAGTCCAGTTTCCCTGAGGCCTGATGATGTAATTGCAAGGCCTGTCTTCATTATTTCTCTATCTTCTCTAGTGTACAGAACATGCCCATCCCCACTCCTGACAACTAAGGAGCCCAGAAGCAGCACTAGTAAATGAAATCAAATACAAAGTGAATGGGCCTGGAAGAGTATTGCTAAAAGAATCCAGGATTTAACAACATACTGGGGTGCTATCCATTAATTTTAGGGGTGTCTGGGAAGAGAAAGCATAGACATAAAAGTGCCTCAGGCCAACAAAAGGATTCTGTGCACTACAGAGAATTCCACAGGGTACTACCCTTTAGTTTCCTGTTGGCTGAATTCCCTCCAAGTCACTTTAGCCTCCTGCACCCCTATGATATACACCGAGCAGGAACATTGAAGTAAGTGAAAAGACTTCCATGCCCCAAAACAATAAGCAGTCCAGGGAAGGTAGATGTGCAAAGAACCAATCCTAAGATGAGCCAAGGAAGAGGATCATAGTTATCCCTCTGAAGGGGCCTGAGTCCTGCTGCCTGGGCACTGCACTTGACAGGCAAGACTAGGACAGTGAGGGTCGGGGAGGAAGTTATCAGACCTGTGCTCTGGATCCTGAACTCTGGTGGCCATTTAGAGGTGGGCAGCAGGGATAAGAGCCGGGAGGCAAGTAGACTAATTAAGGCAGCTATTGAAATAGCTCAGAGGAAGAGTGAAAGCACAAGCTCTGGGTAAGCGTCCAAAGCATTATGTCGAAGCAGGACCTGACAACCTGTGAGTGTGTGCAGACATGTTTATGTCCTGGAGAAGGATGGGATTTCTTCTTATTCAGTCAGGAATAAAACTTCCTAAAGCAAAGACGGTCTTGGGCCTGAATGACTATGATCACAAGCAAGGGAGTGGGACAGAAAATCCAAGAATTTCATGTTTATGAGTTTAGCTGATCCTCAGCTAGCTGCTGGATAGCTCAGGCTGGCACACAGGAGCATGGGATTGCCACAAATACAAAGTGTTGGCTAAATCAGGGGCCTCGGGAACAGGCAGCCTTAAGGAGGAAGAACAGCAATCAAAGAGGCCCAGGAGAAAGCTACTGAGGAGACAAGAGGGGAGATGGCAGGGTTCAGAAGCTACAGGAGAAAGATTATAAGAAAGGTTTGGTAGACAGAGCCAAATATTTCCAGAAAGTCACGCTGATCAGGGAGGAAGATCATGGGAGACGATGGCTTAACCTTAGCTGCTAAGGAATATGTGATGCTGAAGAGTAAAGATGGAAGGTTAATCTCTCAAGAGAAATAATTCAGCATGTACTGAGAAGACCTTTATCCTTTATCTTTATTTAGAAATACAAAATACATATAAAAGCAAATAAATGCAGTATCAACAGTGCATGAGTCTTGAGGCAGAATCAACTGGAAATGAGCTCAACACAACTGGAAAAAGATTCTAAATCAGGTCCACAATGACATAGACACATGATAAGAAATATAACAAGACATCAGGAAGAGGACAATCTATGAAATGAAATGCAAATGATGGGACATCTGCTGGGCTGTCTTCTAGCTCACCATGGCTTCCTTCCCTGGTAGCTGCTCCTACCTGATCCACACAAGTGGACTCCCAGCAGTCATGTCTACCCCTTGGCCAACAATCTCTAGCCATGCACAGTCATCCAAGGTGGAAGCCTGAGCCCAGATAATCCCAAATTCCTTCTCCAGGTATTTGAAAAGAGAGGAATTAAGTCTTCCTCCAAGTAGTTGGACCTGTGACAAAAAATCTTTGGGAACTATCAGAAACCATATTTCCTGTCATGTGACAGAAACAAATAAAAACAACACCATATGATACAACGGTTAAAAAATACTTTGCAGTGAGCCAGGCCCTGTGGTGCATACCTGTAATCTCAGCAACTAGGGAGGGTGAGGCAGGATGGTCACAAGTCTGAGACCAACAACTTAGTGGCTCAAAATAAAAAGAGCTGGGGGTGTAGCTCAGTAGTAAAGTACCCTTAGGTTCAATTCCCAGTATTAGGGGGAAAAAAATCCAAAACTTGGTAATTATACTTGGTCATACATGTCTTTGGTCATGTATATAACTGTTCACTTAACTGAGCTCACATTCACAAAGCAGCTAAACCCATCAAGGCAACCATGTGATCAGGCCCTTATACTCCGCTTATCTTGGCCTCCCCATAGCAGCCACTGGTGTCCTCATTTGCAGGCTAGGCCACCCTAGTCCCTGACTGAAGCCAGAGCAGGTACCATATCAGCAGCCCAATCCTTCTGGGCAATTTGTTATTTGTCTGACACCTACAGCCAGGGGCCAGAGAAGGGTTCCAAGAACCCCTGGACCTCTAAATCACAGTGCTACCTAAGCCACTCCCTACCTGACTCCTGCGGTGCTCTTCACTCTTACCCTTTTCTGCCCCTCACATCCTCTTCCTCATCCCTCGCTCTTACACATCACACTCACATGAACCCACACCTACTCACCCCACAGCCTCACAGCATGGACTGACTCACCTGCTGATCCCCTCAGCCCTACAGATCCTCTCTCACAAAGGAGGCACTGATGCACAGTTGAGGAAGGCACAAAGGAATAAGTGACCCTGGCTCACCACAGGCTCAGCTGAGTGTTGCTGAGGTCCCAGCATGCTCTGCTGCATAGCACACCAAGGCATGACAAATCTCCTACCCTCTGTCTTCCCATTTGAAAAAAAAAGAATACTTCCAAGAAATCATCTGTATCAACTACTATTTGTAGAACAGTGGCTATTTTTTTAAATCTCTATGTAAAGAGACAATAAAAGGCAATTGTGAGCAATTATTAACTATTAATTAGCAATGACTCTAGGAAAAGACTTGGATGTTCTACTTTTCACCAGAACTAAACCTTGTTTCGGACAATTTTAAAATTAAATAAATTTTAAAAGAAAGAGGAGGCAAAGATCAGAGACATTCTGTTCCAGCCGACCATGGAGGACAGAACTGGAGGTGAAGTAATCACTGTCCTCAAAACAGCATTCCAGCCGTGCATGTGTGGCACAGGCCTATCATCCCAGTGCACAGGAGGATTGCAGCTTGAAGCCAGTCTCAGCTCTTAGTGAGAGCCTTAGCAATTTGGTGAGACCCTGTTTCAGAATAAAAAATTTAAAAAGGCTAAGTGTATAGCTCAATAGTAGGATACCACTGGGTTCAAGTCCCAGTACTAAAAAAAAAAAAAAAAAAAGTGAGAGACCGCACAGTCCAGGAGATACCATGGTGAGGGAGATGAGAACTAACTAAAAAGGGCAACAAAGAAGCTCTGACTCAAAAGTGATCATGGGCAGCCCTACCAACAGAGGCCTAGAGCCTGCGAGAAGGTCTGAGAAGCCCACCTGAGTACATGTGCAATGCAGACACCTCTCTTAGACATACTGAGCTTCTCCTTCTCCAAGTTGTTCTGCATTTCTGAAGCTACAGGAAGACCAGGAGTCTAGGAGCCAGAGCCAGAACTTTCTCACATCTCACCTGAATTACATAACTGGCATCTCTGTATCCACTCTTGTGTCATCTACACAGGATCCAAAAAGATTTTTCTAGAACCCAAATATGATCAAGTCATTGCTCTGCCTCACCTGCTCCCACGCTCCCAAGCAAGTGCATAACGTGACCCATCCCCTTTTACTTAGTCTTAAGGCATTCCAGCATCTGACCCCTGCCAACCTCTCTAGTCTATTCTCCCACTGCTTCCCATTAGTTCAAAATTTATTCAACACAGGCATCTACTCTGTGACAGACACTGTTTCAGAAGGAAGGAGATATGGTCTGATCAAGACGAGAGTGAAATATTGGGAGACCTGGGGAAACAGTGGTCTAGAAAAAGAGGCCCCCAAGAGCAGATGTATCCTGCTCTGAGAACAGCAAGGGGACCAGTATGGCCAGAATGGGGGAGCACACAGGAGGTGGTGGAAGGAAAGAAAGTCAGTGGATGGGGGACAGGTCACCCCTGCAGGGCCTGGCAGGCAAGGTAAGATTCACAGCTCACTGAACTCACAGTTTCTTGCTGCTGTGGTTCTATACCTGGTCAGGAAGACCCTCTCCAGCTTTGCCCACCTGGGAAACTGCTATGCAGCTTTCTCATGAGCTGAGTGAGATACCACCTCCTTCACTGACTGTTTCTGGATACTCGCTAGCTGGCTGGAATTACGTGCTCCCTCCTTGACTTCTCAGTACTTTAAATGCACCGAATAGTAAACACCTACTTACAGGTCTGCTTCCCTAAGGAGCTGGGATATGTATGGGTCACCTGCAGCTAGCACAGTGCTTACATACGTAAACAGCATGTGGTCAAAATATTTGTTGAGTTAAACCACTGTTTAAACTATTAGTCATCAGAGAGAAAAATAATGTAAACCTAGCCATAATTTTTTTCTTTTTGGGTGCTGAGAATGGAACCCTGGGCCTCACACATGCTAGGGAAGTGTCTACAACTGTAGCCCCAGACCACCATAAAAAATTTTAACATGGAAATCATTAAACATACAGGTGAAACCTTTACTGTACGCACATGCGCACACCCACCCACAAACACTAAACATATGAGGTCTCATTATAAATAAACTCAAGCCTCACACTGAAAAAAAGTAATAAAAAGAAGTTTCCTGTGTGGGGAGAAAGACAGCGTGCAGAGAAATGAGACAAGTAGGTAATCATGAACTCCCTTAGTTAATTACAGGCTAATTTCCACCCACAAGCTGAAAAGGAGTATCCTGTGACCATGTGAAATCTAGGACACCAGATGGCCCCAGAAGGAAGGCAGGCCACTGCCAAAGACGAGCTCCTGCTACAGCTCCCTTCCCAAGGACATGTTCAACAATTCCAGTGCTATGGGGAGAGCAGGAGGGAGGAAGATGCCTTTACCTCTGCATCCAGAGTGGCTGAAGCCACAATCAACCGAAGATCCCCACGCTTTTTCTGAATCTAAAACAAGAAGGCATTAGGAAACATGATAACAGTGCAATATTTATGGATGAAATAATCTGATGGATGACCGTTTTTTTTCCCCTTTGGATTTTCTTTGGATTTTCCAAATTGCTATATGCTTTTCCAAGTCAGTAACAAAGCAAAAACAAAAACATCCAGGTGCAGTGGCATATGCCTATAATCCCAGTGGCTTAGGAGGCTGAGTCAGGAGGATCACAGGTTCAAAGCCAGCCACAGCAACTTAGCAAGGCCCTGAGCAACTCAGAGAGATCCTATCTCAAAATAACACATTTAAAAAAGGGCTCAGTGGCTAAGTGCCTCTGGGTTCAATCCCTGGTACCAAAAAAAAAACCATAAAAATATAAAAACAAAACTCTGTCAGCGGAGCCATACCTTTTTTAGCAAGCCAATGGCAATGTCAGTGTACAAGGTCCTCTCGTGGGCTTCATCCAGCATAATGACACTAAGGATCAAAGGGACACTGTCAGTGAACATTGAAACAACCACCCCATCCAGGCCACCAAAGGGACCCTGTGGATCAAAAGGAAGCTTACTGGCAATGCGATAATTCTTACACTAATAATCATAGTCACTTCAACACATCCTGGCGTACAGAAAGTGGTGCTGTACTGCTGTCTTTAAAGAGCTTCACCAACACATGGATTCCAACAGGATTTATCATGTGATTTTCCATGACAACACAATCTATGTGCCACAGGACACATAAAAAACAGAACGAGAACCAGTCACTGTAAGTCTGGAAAGTGGCAGAAACAGGCAAGCAGGCAGGTGATCACAGTTGTGACACACATGCACCACAGAGCCTTGTATGTGTGTGACAGACAAAGACCATGAAGGAGAAAGTGATAAATAATTATTTGGACTCTTATGTGCCTTATGTTCAGTAAAACACTACCCAGTTAGTTCTCTGGAGTGCTATGATTCTACGGTCACTATCAACCCTGGGTGTGACCAAAGCAACATATAAAGGACAACTCTACAGGCTGTTTAGTGACAAGGGGACTGATGATGTAGCTCAGGGGTACAGCATTTACCTAGCATGCATGAGGCCTAGGCTCAAGCCCCAGCAACATTAAATAAATAAATAAACAAGTAAGGACAGAGATTTTTCTGTGCCCATTTTTATGTACTTTCTGTTTGGTTGTTTCATGTGTCCACTTTGGGCACATAAAGGACTGCACTCTCTAAATTCTGAGTAAAACATCAAGGGCCAAAATAGCTGGAGTTAAGAGAAAAATTTTCAGGCAGCTGAATACAGATGTGACTCTCACCTACTGATAGAAATGCTTGTCAATCTATTTGTGGACTTTGGAAACTGCAGGGAAGTTATCATAGGAAAAACATATTTACCTATATTTTGTTAACAATGGATCAACCATCATTTCCCTGACCAGCATTCCATCAGTAAGAAACTAAAAAAAAAAAAAAAAAAAATACAAAATTTTAGACATAAGTCATTTATATCATATATTAATAATTTTTTTTAAGTTCAAGCAGAACTCCATAAAGTTCAAATATCCTGTTGGTCAGCACCTGTATAGGACAATTCCCATAAAGGACTGTGAAGAGATGGCCCAAACTTTTTTTTTTTTAATCAGTAAGCAACAGAACTGTTACCAAAATAGATCTCAAACACGTGGTCCCTGCTGGGCTTGTGAGTCTTCAGCAGAACCTCCACAGCAGTGAAGGCCCACTTCCTCTGGTCCTGCACCTGGAAGTGCTGATGATGGGCAATGAATGCCAGGGAATGCCGGGAGTCTGAGATAACTGCTTTTACAATTCACAGACTGTGGATCGCAGCCCTTGAGGTTATTTACCTCAAGTTGTACACAGATTACTTTAGGAGCCAGATGAGGTCGAGTAAAGAACATGGGCTACGGTGTCATGCCACTGGCTTCTCCCTCTTACTTGCTGTATAAATCTTGGGCAGGTTCTTCCCCTATGAGCCTGATTCCTTGTTTGTAAAATGAAGTAATGAACTAATGAGATGGTACAAGCAGAGTGTTTAGCACAGGAGCTAATGCACAGTGCTTAAGAACATCAGTTCTACTGCCTATGAGTGTTTATGAAATACTTTTGAAATGTGCAGTAATAACTGGATGTTGTTAGTCTCATCCCAAACACATATGGTATGTTAACAAGGCCAAGCATGTATCTCCCTATGTGCTGCGTATGCTTGCTTTTCTTGTTTTGGTTTAAGAGCAGGTGTATGCTTGCTTTTCTTGTTTTGGTTTAAGAGCAGGTCGCATTTCCACCGTGGTCTGCATGATCTGAACCACCTGCCTCACACACTCACAGGAGTGGAAGTAAGAACTTGCCACCAATGAAAAAGCACCAGAATCAAGTGCCCTGGAGTGATGGTCAAATGAAATACGAAAGCTTCTCATGAAGGACTCAAGAAGAATCATGTGATTAGTGATCCACTGAAAATTAGCTAGTTTAAATGTATTTTATGCTACAGAATATTCCCTTTACCTAGCAAAAGACACGTAAGTGGTGACAAAATACAGAAGTTTGAAAAACAAGAGTCATATTTTTATAAATCACTGCATTGTTCATTTAGTTCATCTGATTATTTTCAATTTTTCTCTGTTGCAAACTGAGAGGTAACCAAAATTTTAATAACCAATCTTCATCTCATCAAAGCATTTGTTCACTGTTTTACTGAACTGTCTGATTAGACTTTGGTTCCAGCATAGTGGCACACAGTAGACCCCTGCTGAGTTGATTATACAATAATTACTACTGATATTAATTATTTTGATGTTAACAACTAGGCCAAAAAACACACAGATAAATCCATTATCATACAAAATAGGAAGGATCTAACTAGTGAAAACATCATCTATGAATTCTGCACTTTGATTATCAGTTTATACTACTTTGTCTATTTTTAACTCTTTAACAGACCTGTTTCTGTACTTAGATAGCAATGCAAGTCAGTGGAAAAAAATAAAACAGACATTAAAAAAGACAACTTTGAGTCCCAGTGCTGTCACCAACAGGCAAGTCATTTAGTCTCCCCTGCCCTCAACTGCCGGGTTTCTATTCTCACGACTAAAAGGCTCAGGGGTCACTCCGGTTGAACTGGGCTAACTGAGCTGCACAAAATAATCACACAAGAGACACAACTACCTTTTTCATTGGGGCCGCTGTGACGGCTCCTCTGACCTTAAGGGTCCACAGGAAGAGAGAGAGAGAACACGCACTGACCCCTTTTATTGAGGAGAAGCTATTCAAATGAGGCAAGGGGTCAGGTTTCAGGGGGCTGAGTCTAGCTTCATGATGTCCACTGTCAGCAGGTTGACTGACATCTGGGTAGGCCACACCCAAGGGCACAGTAAGAGAAGGGGACACACACAAGGCACTTCCATGGAAGATTCTATCCTAAACAGGGCAAGGGGTATTATATTACAAAGGAACAGGTGAGCATAGCTTCACCCATGGGGCTGTAGCAGGACACACCCATGCACAAGACACTGTCCCTTGAACCCAAGAAGGGTGGGGAAAGCTCTGCCACATTTCTGTGACTGAATGCCTCAGCACCCAGCTGGGGAGTGTGACTCCATCACGTGCAAGGTTGGTCTCCCACTCTCAACCTCTTCATCTGGAGGCCAAGGGCTAAACTTTACTTCTGAGTTCCTTTCTGAGTAAGATTCGAGAACATTTCATCAGAGCTCTGTAATTCCCAGCAGACTAAAGTCCCTGGGGCCAGGATGATTTCCTATACTTTCTGCCCGGTTTCTGCGTCCTATACAGCAGCCAGAGCTGCAGGCTTTTAACTCCCCCCAGTTATTCTTCCTCCTCAGCGATACTGGGAAAAGCAGCTTGCGCACTTCACCTTGATTCTTGTGGCCAGCGGGTCGGTGCAGTCGTCAAAGCGGATGCAGTAGCCCACCTCGTGCCCCAGCACTGCTCCTCTCTCCTCGGCTACTCGCCCTGCAACCTTTGGGAAGAAAGATCATGCTGAAAATAGAGACATTGAAATTACTGCACAGAGCACATACGCTGGAAATCTAAACGTCATTTATTAAACAGTATGTGAATGCCATGGAAAATGAGAAGTAAAGGGGCAGGACGTTAGAAAACAAGTATGAAAGCTTCTATAATTTACTGACATATTTATGTACCTCATTTCATCCTGCCATGGTCTTGGGGCCACTTATAAAAGCATACAAACTGAAAATGAAATCATATAAAGATGTTACAGATCAAAATCAAAGAAATAAGGCTGGGGGTGTGTAGTTCAGTGGAAGAGCACTTGTCTAACAAGTGCAAGGCCCTGGGTTCAATCCCAGCACTGCATATAAGTAAATAAATTACAAAGAAATTACCAATAAAATTCAAAAGATTTAAGCCACTGAGAAAAAAAATTAAATACATAGATACACTATAGTTATTTGAGACAAGCTAACCCACAAACTCATCTCTAAATTTTGTGACCAAATTTAAAGATCATTCATTTCTAAATTTTGAAGCAAAAGAAATGATAAGATTTGCCCTGCTCCCTTAAGAAAAAGCACATCAATCAGAGACAACTTTTCATGTCTCCACTCCTTAAAATAAAGCATCTTCCCCTGAATGTGAAAGCAGGAGAACTGGAATGATCAAATTCAATACTGGGTAAGGTTCATTTTCTCTTTGGAAGCCAAAAAAGCCAGACACCTAAACAATTCTCAATAGTATCACAACTACCAAGACCTCTGAAAGGGGAAATGAAGAATGCAGGTCTTTAAAAAAGGGCAGACAAGTGAATGAGATGGTTAAGAAAGATCCAAGTCAGCACAATAAAGTAAAAGAAGAAGGCAAAAAGAATAATAGATTATGAAACCACAAACTATAGAAAGAATTTCACCCACTGATATATAATTTAAAAAAATAGTATAGGGGAAAATATAAAAAAAATCCAACAAGCAAAATCTCTGAATTATCCCAAGAAGGCTACTCAAAGGTTACTAACTGAATAACAGAAAATATTTGAAACAGTAAATAAGCATAAGCCATGCCCAGTGGCTCCTGCCTGTAATACCAGATACTGAGGAGGCTAATGTGAGGAGAATCACAAGTTTGAGGCCATCCTAGACAACTCAGGAAGAGTTTTTCTCAAAAATAAAGAAAAATTTTTTAAAAAATCAATAATGCTTCTTAATTTAAAAGAAATTAAAACCTACTACGTAAGCTACCTGAGAGCCAAAGGGAAGCATGTGAACAGAGGCCCCAGCACCTGGCACTACCACCACCCAGGTGAGGCAGGCATTCAGCTGCCCGCACCCCATACTTCCTGTGGCCTAGAGTGGAATGTGGCTGCCACAGGAGGTGGCCTGCGGCAGAACTGACTCAGCCTTTAGGCCCCCGGAGCCCCAGGCTCAGGAGCAGAGGCTCCCTGCACTCGCTCTCAGCACCAGGCACACCCAGCATTATCTGCCCATCATTGTTTAAGAAACTGAAGAGCAAATGAGGATCAGAAATGGCTCTGCCTGGTCTGGTGACTTGAAATTACAGCTCTGGCAGGCCAACACACAATCAATCATCAAGCAGCTGGTCTGCCCCACGTAGCCATCCAATCATCTTATGAAACCAGAAATGCACCCTGCACTGCCCTACCTCTGGAGGTTCTGTTTCTCCAGAACCAGCTTTTCACCAAACACTTCTATTATGTTTCACTTTAACACTGCACACTGTCCTATTATAAATACCAGAAAATGAACAGAGAATGTGTGCATAGAGTCACTAGGGGCCTGTGAGGAAAACATGTTCCTAAGAATAAGAAGTAAACCAATCCTCTTCCTTAAAACATCATTTTATGGGCCCATAAAACAAAGCCAAACTTGTTAATTCTTGTTATTTCACTATTTGTATACATTTGCCTTTAAAAAAATGCTTTTCTTTTCAAACTTCTTTTTAAATTTCATCATTTATTAATCATACAGGATTATATTCTATTGGCTTTTTTTTGGGGGGGGGGTGGGGGGAGTGTGGTCGCATTTACTGGGGATTTAACCCAGGGGCACTTTACCACAGAACCACATCCCCAGCCCTTTTCATAGGGTCTCACTAAGTTGCTTAGGGCCTAAATTGCTGAGGCTGGCCTCAAGCTTGTGATCCTCCTGCCTCGGCCTCCCAAGTCACTGGGATTACAGATATGTGCCACTAAGCCTAGCCATCTATTGGCTTTTTAACAGATTTTTACCCCCATTGTTTATGTTCTGCTCCCAATAACTTCATCAACTGGAATAGACAAATACCATATTCTGGACAACCCAAACAGATAAAGAGGGAAAAAAAAAAAAAAAAGAAAAGAAAACCCAATCACCGAGCACCTTCTACGTGGCAAGTGCTAGGCTCTGAGCTTTCACACAGCCCAGGAGGTAAAGCAGATACCGTCAGACCTACAAATGAGAGAGTCAAGTCAAATCTAGCACAAGTAAGGCCAGTGAGCACGTTCATTAATTGCCTCTCACTGAGACCAAGCCCGGCTTATGCAATCTGTTCTCAGGCTCTGAGCTTCTTTTCAGATTTCAGTCTGCACACAAAGTACTTTCTGAGATGCAGCATTACAAATGTGACAGCTCTATTAATACTACATGGTTAATTTATACATTCTTTGTTCTTTCAAGAGAAAGCATGTGGTTGCATGGAAGTTATCCATGGCTACAAATTTGGAGCCAAAATGCAAAGTGATTAAGAGCTGGGATTCCAAACCACAAACAGGAAAAATTGCTCTGATTTTTAGGTAACTGAGTCATCTTTTGATTACATAAAAGTTTAACTCTGTCACTGCAGTAGAGTTTCCAAACCTATTCCCATTTTATTCACATACTCCTAGCAAAATCTTTATAATTTTTAACTAGAAGAGCATTAGAAAACGGACTTTGGAGGAAAGGATTAATAATAATTAAAACTCTACACATAGTAAAAATAACTTGGGGAAATAGAATGAATTTCTTATCCAGGTAAGGATATCAAAATAAAGGCATTTTTGTCCCAGTGTCCTCTCCTAAAGTTAATAAAAAACAACAAAAGAATAAACACATAAACAAGATAAAACTCCCATCTTTAATGAAAGGAGCCAGCCACAAGCCCAAACAGTAAACACAGCTGCCAAACACGGTGAGATCCACATCCAGAAGGAAGGCCTGGGCCTCATCACAAAAGTGAACTTCCGGCCTCCTTAATGTCAGCGTTAACACTTTAAAAGGCAGGGCCCAACATCCTCCTGCTAGAAGTGGCAGCACTCAGGCCCAGGAGATATAGGAAATGTCCACAAAGTGGACATTAAAGAATTACAGGGAAGAAGAGGGTGAGAAGAAGACAGGCAGGCAGGACACAAGCATCAAATCCCAAATCAGAGAGCCCTTAGAATATCATCCTGAGCCATAAAGACCTCTCAAGTCACCAAAGAGTGCATGGCCAGATCCTCATCCCTCATCCCCAGCCAGCAAAGGGTAAAAGCCTCTCTGAGAGGCCACCCTCAAACCCACCCTATACAATCTCACACTTCTGAGGAAACCAGTGGCCACAGTCAAAGATAAGAACTTATCACAAAAGTACCAACACAAGCCTAGGGCATGAAAGCTAAGAAAGAAGGAATAAAGGGAAGAAAACATAAGCAAAAAAAATGCAGTTTTAAAAGAAATTTCAAGCTGCGAGGGGTCAGGTACACCTGTGATCCCAGCAATTCAGGAGGCTGAGGTAGGAGGATCACAAGTTCAAGGCCAGCCTCAGCAACTTAGCAAGAACCTGTCTCAAAATGAAAAATAAAAAGGGCTGGGGGATGCAGCTTAGTGTTGGAACACCCCATGTTCAATCCCCAGTACCACCAAAAAAAAAAAAAAAACCAAAAAATTATTTTCTGGATTTTTTAATGTTTGCAGCATTACAGATTTTAAAACTCAAAATACATTTTGTATCTCCTTTCATTCACTTCTTTACTAAAAAGGAAAATTAAAGATATAGTTATGAGACTGAGGTAGAAATGTAAAGGAATCAAAATGAATAACTTTGACTAAAAAAAAATCATGAACATTGTGGAGAGGCTTGAAGAACCCCACAATACTAGAGGGGAGCAGTAGATTCCAGACACGGTAGTCGATATTAAAAACAGACAATGGAGTACACTTCTAATGCTTTCAGAAAGAGAATAAAGTAACTGGAACAGAAAAGTATACCCAGATATCAAGGAGATTTGAATCTAAAAATTAAGAGCTTTTCCATATTTAAAAAAAAATTTTGAGACAGCACACCAGGAACCGTGGTACACACCTATAATCCCAGCTACTTGGGAGCCTGAGGCAAGAGGATGGCATGTTCAAGGTAAGACCTGTCTCAAAATAAAAAGGGCTGGAGATGTACTCAGTGGTAGAGCACCCCTAGGTTCAATCCCCAGTACTGGGAAGGAAAAATTTAAAAAAAGCAATGAGACCACATGATCAACATCAAGGCATATCCTCATGGAAAAGGAATCTTGCAAGCATTTGGTAAGACAAGCCAAGAAGGTAGGTTGAAAAAACCCTCTAGATCTCAGATTTCTCTTCAGAGTTCCTCAGCACTGATAGTCAGTGGAGCAAAGTCTGCATAGTTACCAGGGAGAGTGCAAATCAAGAATTTTCTACTGGGACTGAGGCCATAGCTCGGTGGTAGAGAGCCTGCCTAGCATGTGCGAGCCCCATGGCTGTCTAGCATCCCAGCACAGGGGGGAAAAATACACATTTTTTTTTACATCAAGATCAAGCATATAAAAATAATTACTGAATGATAAAATTCAGCCAATCAAGAAATACAGCAAAAATGAGCAATTTGGGGTTGGCATAACCATGGAAAATAATTATCAATGAGCATTCAATCCATTCAAACTAGAATTAAACACCTGCAAGAATTATGACTAAGAAAATATAAGTTATAAATCAAGAAATGAAAATGACAGTGCTGTATCTACAAATGGGGGAAGAGAGGCAGATGATGAATGTGTGTTAATTTCCTCTTCTTTCATAAAAGAAAAACTAAAATGTGTAGCTTGAAAAATAGTGTAATATGAAGTTCTTAATCATTCTTTTTTAAACTATTGAAGTCTTAATAAACTTTCTTATGCTGAATAAACATTTACCTACAGTTCAGGAACTGCTCCTATTTCACTTTAGTTTCCTTTTTTGTTAAATTCAACATAAGAAGTCTTATGTTCATAATCCCATTTTTATAAAAATTATTTCTGTCCAAACAGACAACCACTCATCTTTATCTTGAACAAAATCTTAGAATGAAGTTGACTAACGTTCACAATACTTTTTCTAGGTGCTGAGATTTTGGTTTGTTGGTTTGGTTTGGTTTGGTTTTTTAAAATTATTTGGTTGGAAATGACGGCATGACTGAAAGAAAGTAAATTTCATTTTGGAGAAATGCATTCAATTGTCTAAGATGCAATACTGTGTTATATCATTTATATAAATATCCTTATTAAATATCATAAATACACACTCATGATATTTAGAGGTCTTATGGTTCCTCTGAAGGGTTCTTAAAACTATGGTAGTTCAAAGGGCATTATTTGGGGACATTAGAAATGTTCTCAGTCACAACTACTGCAGGGTTATAGGACTATGAATTTGTCACAACTTATCAAACTGTATATATGACAAGAGATTTGTGTGTTGTGTGTGTGTATAACTGGAGACTAAACTCAGAAGGCCTTCTGCCACTAAGCCACACCCTGGCCCTTTTTATTTTAGTTTGAGAAAGGGTCTCACTATTAAATTACCCAGGCGGACTTCACACTTAAGTGATCCTCCTTCCTCGGCCTCCCATGTCACTGAGATTACAGGCATCTGCCACCATGCTCAACTGAGGAGGGAACACTTCTGCAGTATATAAATTATATCTCAATGAACCCCCATTAAAATAAAATAGTAGCCATTCAAAAAAAATATATTTGGCTGGGCACAATAACACAAAACTGTAATCCTAAGACTCAGGAGGCTAAGGCAGGAGGATCCCAAGTTCAAGGCCAAACTCCACAATCTAGCAAGGCCCTAAGCAAAAATAAATAAATAAATAAATAAGTAAAAAGGGTTGGGGATATACTTCAGTGGTAAAGCACCCCTGCGTCCAATCCCCAGTAACAAAATTTGTTTTTTTAATTCCTATATTGTACTAGCCACACTTTTTTTTTTTGGTACCGGGAATTGAACTCAGGGGTACTTGACCACTGAGCCACATCCCAATCCCTATTTTGTATTTTACTTAGAGACAGGGCCTCACTGAGTTGCTTAGCGCCTCACCTCACTGTTGCTGAAGGTGGCTTTGAACTTGTGATTCTCCTGTGTCTCGGTCTCCTGAGCCACTGGGATTACAGGCATGCGCCACCATGCCTAACTACCAGTACCAAAATTTTAAAAAAATTTTTTTATAAAAAATTATTTTTCTGAGCTGGGGAGGTGGCTCAAGTGGTAACGCGCTCGCCTGGCATGCATGAGACACTGGGTTCGATCCTCAGCACCACATAAAAATAAAATAAAGATATTGTGGTTCACCGAAAACTGAAAAATAAATATTAAAAAATTCTCTAAAAAAATTACTTTTCTTTTTACTTTTTCAGTACTTTATTACTTAAATTACTCATAATGTATAGTTACCAATTTTACAAAAATATCCAAGTTATGGTCCTTTTTAAGTTCTAAATTCTTAAGGAGCAACTTGTATTCATTTGTAGTTTTTAGGAAATAAGTAAAATAAAATAATAATAATAGGGAAATAGAAGGCACAGACGGGAAGAAACTCACGGTAACGGCAGCCACTCTCCGAGGCTGGGTAATGCCAACCACTCTTCCTTCGGCTGTCCAGCCAGCTTCCGCCAGGTACTGCAAGCAGAATAACATCTCACTACACATCTGACACCACTTTTCCAGACAGGACCTCCCCAAGATGATGACCCTGCATTGTATTAAAATCACTGCACAGGAATAACCAGCAAAACTTTGGGGATTATTTTACAAATGATGGATCTTGATAATATTAAGTAATAGCTTAAGTTCACATCAAAGCTGATAAACCAAAGAACCAATTCAGTATTCAGATGCCCCAGTCCTGCAAAATTTCCACATATTACAGCTGCCTCAAGGGGCAAAAAAAAAAAAAAAAACAACTATCCCTGAGTCACTCAAAATAGTACTAAACCTGTAGAACAAAAAATTTTAAACTATGCACAGGGACAGCTGAATATAAATAACAATGTAACAAATTTTAATCAAATAAAACAAAACTAGTTATTCACAATTATACATAAATATATGCCATTAGATTACACTAGCATATATAAAATTTGATTAAATGCACTTATGATTTATTTATGAATTTATTGGATTATAAACACTTAAAATTCTATATGGATAACTGTGACTGCCAGTTAATATTTTTATAATGTCTGTTTTACAACAAATATATAGTCCTTCAAAAATAGAAAAAACAGTATGATTACTATTGCATTATGTGCTCACTGGTTCAAAAGAAATAACAGAAAGATAATATAGACACTAAAGATAATGACTGTCTATAGGGCTGGGTGGCAAAGGGGCAGAAAGAGGGGAAATGGCAACAGGGTAACAGGGATGAAGAAGCAGCAGCAGTGCTCTGACGGATCACTTTGTGTAGCTCTGACTCATAGAACCATGGTCACGCTTCATATTGTTTTTCAATACCCAGAAACAAACAAAACCAACAAGGATGCGCAGGGAAACTCCAAGGAAATACCAGACAAACAATGACCCTTTCTGCATTACAAATGAGTAACAAAACCACACTGAAGGGGGTGCAGAAAAAAATAACTAACTTAAATAAGTATGGTATCTTCACTGGACACCTAAATGTTAAAGACAAAAAGAACTAGACATAAATGGTATAATCTAGTTAAATGTTGATAAATAACCAAATAGGGGTATGAGTTAGCAATCCAAAACTATTTTATTTGTATATTATAATGAGCACCCTAGCATTCAGATCCTGATTTCTAAACACCATTCTCCAATAAAAGGAATCAGTATATATAATATGAGCCACATCTTTTGGAACTAGCAAGTAAAGTAATGGTCAAAAAAGAATGGAGCCTTGCCAGGTGTGATGGTGCATGCCTCTAATCCAGAAACTTGAGAGGCTAAGGCAGGAGGATTGAAAATTAAAGTCCAGCCTCAGTAACACAAATACAAGATCAGAACTATAATAATAATAGCTAAGATTCACTGAACAGCCTACTAAGTATCAGGAGCTTGCTGTGTAATCCTCACAACAAATCCTTAGCAAGACCCAGTGTCAAAATAAAAAATAAAAATGGCTGGGGAGGAGGTGGAGTTGTAGCTCAGTGGTAGAGCACTTGCCTAGCATGTAGGAGGCACTGGGTTCAATCCTCAGCACCACATAAAAATAAATAAATAAAATAAAATAAAATAAAAGTATTATGTCCATCTACAACCAAAAATATTTTTTTTAAAAAAAACTGGCTAGCTCAGTGGTACAGTGCCCCTGGGTACTAGTAACAAAAAGAAAAAAAGATGCAGCCTTTTTTAGAAGAAAAACAGGAGCCAAACTGAAGGAGTTCCTAATGATCAAACATTGAACAATTTGACCCTCAAAATACAAAATAAATAATCACCATATTGGATTTTAACTGATAAAAAATAAACATCCATGAATCCATATTAATATATATATCAAGTGAATGGAAAGAGACAGTTCTTTCTTAGAGAAGATCCCATTTAATAAAAGGAGAGGGAAAGAGAAAAGAAGAAAAAGATCCACTGAGGGGCACTAAAATCTGAAGGCTAAAGTCTGAAGAGAAGCAGAATATTTCCATCTCCCCCAAGATATTTATCAACTAAAAAGGAAAAGACGGAAGCTTTACAAAGGATCATGGTTAACATCACCAGTGACGAGATTCATCAACACCTTGAAAACCTGATGATACACTAGAAGGACACAGTACCATTTCTGGGATATTCATGCCAAAAATGCCTAAGTTTCTTCCAATCATCATGATAAAACAGGACAGACACCCAATCTAAGAGACATTCTAAAAAATAAATTCCTAGTATTCTTTAAAAGACAATGAGGGAACTGAAGAACTATCACACACTGGAGGAGACAAGGGAAAAGTAACAACCAAATGCAAGGGAGGTCCCAGAACTGCAAAAGAACACTACTGGGGAAAACCAGTGAGATTCAGGTAAGTTCTGTAGTCTAGTACTAGTATTGTGCCAAGGTTTATGTTCTGCTTTTGATTACTGTACAAGTTGTGAGGTGAAAGGCACTGGGAATTCTATATTATTTTTGTAACTTTTCTCTTAGTATATAGTTAGTTACAATAAAGTTTAAAATATGGCTGTAAGGAATAAAATGTTGTACACAATGTAGGGGGAGGGAGTTCTGCCATAAAACCAATAATGTTTTTCTCTCTTATATTAATTACATATATAAAATACTACCAATCACCCCAATCAACACAAATATAAGATCAGAACTATAATAATAATAGCTAAGATTCACTGAACAGCCTACTAAGTATCAGGAGCTTGCTGTGTAATCCTCACAACAAATCCTTAAAAAAGACACTATCATCAACAACATACAGGAGAGAGAACAAAGAGATCACATAACTTGTCCAAGGAAGTAAATAAAAATTCAAGAGCTGACATTCAAGTTCAGCAGACCAAAGCCCTGACGCATAACCAGTACACAATTCTACCACCCAAATTCAAACATGCATGAAGCGAATCTGAAACTCAGCAGACCAAAGCCCTCACACATAAATAGGACACATTCTACCACATCAATTCAAACAAGCATGCAGCTAATCTCTTACTGGGGTTCAGTAAAAGAAACAAAATTTTCATAAAAAATACTCTGTTCATAAAGCTGGCACTTCAATACACCATGTGATCCAGACTTCTACTGCATGCTTGGGTCTGCTGAAGGCTGGGGATGTAGCTCAATGGTAGTGCTTGGCTAGCATGTGGGAGGCACTAGGCTCGAACCTCAGTACCACATAAAAATTAAAAAATAAAATAAAGTTATTATATCCATCTACAACTAAAAAAAAAATTTTAATTAAAAAAAGACGGCTGAGAGGAAGAGGCTGAAGACTGCAAAATATAATACTGATATCAAGAGGCAGTGGGTGTCATGGAGGGAGATTTCTAAACCAAAGGCTGAATTCCATCTTGCTCCTACACACTGTTTAAGGATCACCAAATCTAGTCTTCTAGTTAAGAATGGAATTAGGAAGAACTCCATCAAGAACAAATTAGAAAAAAAAAAAAAAAACACACACACACACAGCCGACTGATATTGGCCAAATTATATTATTACATCGTGTACATGTATGAATATGTAATAACAAATCCAACCATTATGTACAAGTACAATGCACCAATAAAAAAAAAAAAATGTGGAACAAAAGAAAAAAAAGTATTAACAAAAATGGGCTAAGAAAAGCCTGTTTTCATAGTCCATTGTTTTTGACAGATTCTAGCAAAAAATACCATCTAACTTCCAAATATAGTTTGTGGGGCTTTAAAACTGGTGTTTGGTGCTTAAGTATGTTGCACTTTCCCAAGGAAAGATACTGCATAAATCTGGCAAAACAGTTTATTTACAAAAAAAATGCTCACTTTACCTCTGGTTCCTTGGCCTTTTCATTTTTCCTAGGCCATAACTCAAACTTAGTTCATGATAAGCTGAAGACAGTGACTGCCTCAGAGAAGGGAAACTAAGTGGCTAGGAGAAAAGGAAAGAGCCATCCACAGAAGTGGCAGACATTGAACCAACAACATAATCTATCACCAACACAGCTTAGGAGACTCACTTTTCACCATTTATTACTTTATACTTTTCAAATTTTTACCATGTATTTCCTATCCAAAAAAAGTATTTACAATAAAATAAAATTCCTGAAAATGATTAAATTCTAATGCACATGCACTGGGGCCAGTAACTCTGTATCAACTATATTTATATTTGATACAGTAACTCTGTATCAACTATATTTATATTTAACTATATATATACTATATGTATATATATATATATGTATATATATATATATATATATACACACACACACACACACACATACACCCCAAATGTGCAAAATGATATATGTGCTAAATTGATCCACTGCATTATTGTGATAATACAAAACTAGAAACAATCTAAATGTCTATCAACTGAGGGTTGGTAAAATAAATTATGTACACATAATAGAATCTATGGAACTGAAAAATTATACATTAACTGAAAAAAGACAAGGTGCATCAAAACATGTACACATGCTACTATTCATATTTTTTAAAAGAATATATATATATTTATATATGAATGAATATTCATATTCATTTCTCTATAGATGCATATAAAATCCCAACACAAGAAACTGATAAAATTGGTTGCATCTGCACAAAAGAAATGAGTATCAGAAAATGGGGCAGTAGGGAATTCTTTCAGGCTTTTTTGGATTTTTAAACCATATAAATCTATTAAATACTCAAAAAAGAATGAAAATATAAAAAATAAGCCTTGTGAGTTTGCTGTCACATTGCCCAGTCTGAATCCTCAGCCCTCTTTCCCTGGACTCAGCCCCTCAGCAGGCCCTCTCTGATCCCTAGCAGCTAAGCCTTGCTGGGGGAAAAGACAGAACACTGTGTGTACTGTATTGATCCCAATCTCTGCTACCCATTCCTTGGAGGGTTATGCGCATAGCTACCCTGCTGCTATCAGGCCTGGCTGTGCAACTTGCTTTGACCCATGAAATGTGAGCAGGAGGGCCACTTCTGGCAGAGGTTTTAGAAGCCATTTCACGACTGTGCCTCGTACCACAAGACCAACAAGTTCTACCTAAGAGCTGTGCCATCAGTCTGGGTCCCTGGGATGACATGCAACAGCTCAAAGCCAAGATGACCACATAATATGAGCAAGAAGTACACCTTTGTGTTTTAAGCTGCTGAGATTTTCAGGTTCTTTGTTACCATAACATAGTTTATGCTGACAAAATAATAATACAGACTAATTCCAAAACACACTAAAATTACTAGATCTCATGTGGCCTTTTATCTCTATTCTATATTCCCCAACCTCTCTACAATGTTCTCTTCTATAAAAGGGTGATAATAATAGTTGCCACATCATCAAGGATTAAATAGACAAATATTTGTAAACTGCTCACACACATTTGTAATGTAGCACTATTACTATAATTACTTATTATTATTACTAACTAAAGACCTCTGGCAGGGGCAGGGGGTGCTATAGCTCAGTGGTAGAGTGCTTGCCTAGCATGCATGAGGCACTGGATTCGATCCTCAGCACCACATAAAAATAAAAAAATAAAATAAAGGCATGCTGTCCATCTACAATTACAAAAAAAAAAAAAAAAAAAAAATTTTAAAGACCTCTCAGAAATTTGACCTGGCCCTTACAAGTAACTTGCTGGGCTCTTAATGCACACCCCTCTGCCTCCAGGCTACCATCCCCTCTGCTATCTGCTTCTCAAACTGTCCTTTCTCCACTAAGTCATTCTCCTCTGCCTACCTTTCCCCAGCTGCACATTAGATTTCCTAGGGAACTTTTTAAAAAGCCTGTGTCTGGGGCTGGGGTTGTGGCTCAGTGACAGAGTGTTCGCCTAGCACTGGGTTCGATCCTCAGGACCACATAAAAATAAGTGAATAAAAATAAAGCCATTGTGTCCACCTACAACTAAAAAAAAAAAAAAAACTATATATATATAAATAAAAAGCCTATGTCTGGACCCCATCCCAAACCCATTAACCGGAATGAGGTAGGTAGGAGAGCAGACAAAGATTAAGAACCATTCAGATACAAACAAGTCCACAAGTCTGAACCAAGTGATCAGTAACACACCATCAGCACATTCAAAAATGCAAAGGGATGTCCATGGGTTTCCCCGAAAACTCTCCCACCTGTAAAACCCTACCATAGCTGCTGCTGCTGCTGCTTCCTTACCTTCCCTGTGAACTATCCTTCTCCTCCTCTTCTTCCCACCCCACTCCCCAGGACTGGATCCCCCAATATAAAGAACCCAGGACTGAATCAGGGCTCCTGTTCCCTGGCCACTCACCTCCTGAAACTCCCTCCTCTTCTCTGCTTTCTCTGACCACAGAGGTTCTACCGATTCCTTGGCCACCTCCTTCAGGCCACTTGTCTCCTTTCTGCTCTTGACCCTAAATGTTAGTGCTCCCGAGGCTTTGTCTTTGATTCTTTCCTCAACTCTTTCTGTTCTCTTTCGTTCCTGCATGTATCAGGAAGTTTCATCAATACGTGGATGGTCTGCAGGTCCACATCCTTTGTGTCTGACCTCTGCCAGGCTTCAGACTCCCAATCTAACTTTCCTGCTAATAATGTCATCAAAGATCATCAATGACATTAAGAAAACCTGGGTCTGTTTAATCAACCATCAGTTTTCCCCAAACCAATTTCCTTTTTGCTTTTCGATCTCATTTAACACTACCACTGTTCTCCAAGCAGAAAGGCTTGGCTAGTCAGCCTCCAATTCTATTCCTCCCCTTTGTCATCACACATATCTACCAGTTTTAATGACCAGAGCCCCCAACTCTAAGACTGCTCCCATTCCTATCCCCAGAGGATCCCATTACCACTCTTTCCCAGTGCAATAGCCCTTTGTGGCTTGCCTCCTCTGGCCTCTCAGTCATGTTAAGTCTAAATTTTAGAAATGTTCCTATAGCTCTGCTGGTTATTTTCATAAAACCTACAAGGACATCACTTAGAAACACTGGTAGACATTATTTACTAAAGTTGAACATATGATCCATTATGGCTACTCTGTATAAACCAACAGAAACATGCACATGTCTAACAAAAATAAGCAACAGAGTGCTCCTCAGAACACCGGTCATTACAACTAAAAACTGGAAACAACCTGACTGAAAATCAACAGTAGGAAGGAAAAATCAACCACAGAACAACCTACGATAGACCGCCACATTACGGGATCAGCAAGCATTTTCTGTCGAGGGCCACATAACACATTTTTAGGCTTTGACAGTCTTAGGGTCTCTGTAGCAACTGCTCAACTCTGTACTAGAGCATGAGAGAAGCCCTGGGAATACCTCATCAAGTGTGGCTGCTTGTCAAGGAAGCTTTATTTACAAAAACAAGCACTGGGCTATGGTTTGCTGATACCAGCTTAAACAAATCCCATTTATCTTTTCAGAGAAGGGTTATTCCATTATTATTTTAGAATTATAACAAATTAAAGACAACTAATAACTTTGGTACTAACCAAAGAAACGATAAGCTCTAAAAGTTTAATAAAAATTATTTGAAGTGAGTATTTCTTAATTGAGAGGTGAGCACTTCCCAAGAGACCTTAAAAACGCAAATGACAGTAAAGACAGTTCTTAAGTCGCTTCCAGGCAAATCTGTGGAAAGATGTACCAAGTATGTACTCACCTGAGGAATCTGTGTGCTTTTCCCACATCCTGTTTCTCCAACAATCACCACTGTCTGGTAGTTTTCTATCAAGTATAAAATATGATTCCTAAGCTGGAAAAGAAAAACTATATATTGTAAGTAGCCATATGTTATCTCAAAAGACCTAAACAAAAATATTTAAACATTGTAAAATAAGCTCTTGCTAAAAGAAAGTAAATTTTAAAAATAACTATCAAAATGTATTTCCAATTCTCAGGTACCATTAGTGTCAATATGAGCTGACACAGCTCCAAGTGTAATACTTATCAAAATAGAAAATGTACCAACTCTTTGACTCAAGATTTTCCCTATGAACATACTAATGTATGTATACAAAGATACATGTACAAATTAACTCACTGCAGAATTGTTTATAACAGCCAAAAATCCAAACAGTTTAATGTTCATCAACAGGTATTTGATCAGTTATGAAACACTGTAATGATGGAATAATTCAGTTGTTAAAAAGAATAAATTTCTATTTATACAAATACAGAACAATCTGCAGAATACATTAAGGAAAGAAAGCAAAGTATAGAACAATGTAAATAATATATTAGTATTTGTATTTTTAAATAACAGATAGAAGCTGGGGTTGTAGCTCAGTGACAGAGTGCTTGCCTAGCACGCACGAGGCACTAGGTTCAATCCTCAGCACTATATAAAAATTTTAAAAAAAATTAAAAAAGGCATTCTGTTCATCTATAACTACAAAAAAAATTTTTTAAAAAATAAATAAAGGATAAATTCAAATATACTTATTTATACACAGGTTTTCTCTGGAAAAAAAAATAAAACAAGAAACTAAATTGTTCTGTCTCTAAGGAGAGAAAAAAGGGTAGATAAGGAACAGGATGTGAAGGAGATCTCAGAATTCGATACAACACACATGTGCTACCCAACTGAAAAGTTTTACAAATATAGGAGGGTGGGGATCAATTTCTTATCTATGATTTCAAAAAAATTAAAAAATAAAGTGCATTACTTATGGTAGCAAAAAAGAAAGTTTTTTCATTTATTAATATGTAAAAAGTCCCAGAAAAAGGACTAGGGACATGGCTCAGTGGGAGAGTGCTTGTGTAGAACGTGTATGGCTTATACTACCAAAAAAAAAGAAAAACAAAAGAAAGAAAAAGTTCCAGAAAAAAATAAATACGTAAAATGTTTTCAAGTCTATCTCTAAGTCCAAGTTCACAATAAAGCATCCAAAAGTTACATTTATTTTTTCAACATATAGATTTCTTTTATCTAGTCAGTGTGAGCAGAAACACTCGTTTTACCATTGAAAAAGCCACAAGTCGGGTTGGGGATATAGCTCAGTTGGTAAAGTGCTTGTATCCCATGCATAAGGCCCTGGGTTCATTCCCCAGCACCACAGGGGGGAAAAAAAAGGCCACAAGTCATTCTGACATCTTCTATTTGGCCTCAGAAGGTATTTCTGCACACAGCTGATACAGACACAATGATGGTCTAGAGGCTAATGAAGGGATCCCAGAAATACCTGGTTTGGAATGAAGGAAAATCTGCCTCATGTTCTTTCTCTGATCGTTGCTCAGCTCATCTGTTGCCACACCAACAAGGTGTTTGGAAAGGACAAGAAGAGCTGGGATGCTGCCAGTCTCTAACTAGCAAATAAGGAGGTGGCTATTCTGGGCTTTTGAATTTGGCATTATCTGGGATTTAGATATGTAGTCCTAATGTCTTCATGTGAAAATCTTCAAGGACATTTTTTTAACATGAAGATTCCTAGTCCTATCACCAGGGTGTCACTAAGGCTGGGTGGGCCCTAGGAATCTGTATTTATGCACACACCCAAAGGAGAGTCAGCTGCAGGTGGTCTAATGACTTTCACTATATGTTTTCTTCTAGAATGCCTGGACTTTGTGCTTCCTTTCACGCTGGGTGGGGAAGAGGAAAGCTTTGAGTTCTTTACAGTTATTTTGTAAATGGCAAATTGACATGAACCTATGGACAGATGGATGGATGAAGAGTAAAGGAAATTTGAAAGACAATTTGAATACAGATAGAGCAACAGACAAGGCATTCTACAAAAAAACAAACAACAAAAGCCAGGAAAAGATGGAAACAAACTAGGCAAACTCTATTAGAGGGGCTATGAAGAGCTCAGGTTTGATTTGGAAATGAGCTGGGAGAGGTGTACTCAGGGCTTCACTCTGAGGCCTTAAGGTAGAGCTAAAGGGTCTGGACTACCTAAGAGGCAGTGTGGGCTCACTTAAGAGACAGTGTGGACTCAAGAATTTTGAGAAAATTGGCAACAAGGCTGATTTGGATGTGAAGAAACCAAAGGCTATAATTCCAGCTTCATATTCTACAGGCTTAAGGGATCACAGCAGCGTGGAGACAAAGAACGCTCACATTTGAGAGATAACAAAAAGGTTTCTGGTCTAGACACTGATAGAACATCAGTAACACCACCAGGCTCAGTGAAACCAAGGAGCGCTGGTAAGGAGGACAGGACTGAACTTCAGAATGGGAGAGCTGGGCTGGGTGTAGTGGTGAACACCTATAATCCCAGCGGCTCCAGAGGCTGAGGGAGGAGGATTTTGAGTTCAAAGCCAACCTCAGAAACTTAGGGCTGACCTGTCTCTGAATAAAATATAAAATGGGCTGGGGATGTGGTTAAGTGTCCCTGGGTTCAATCCCCGGTACCAAAAAAAAAAAAAAAAGGAAGTGCTGACAGGAATAAAAGAACAAGAACAACTTTGCATAGCAGTGTCCCGGACCCCAAGAGAACACCAGCCAACAGAAGGCAGCTAAGGCAAGCCAGCTGTGATGGCACATCCCTGTAACCACAGCAACTTGGGAAGCTAAGGCAGGAGGATTGAAAGTTCATTTTAATTCTATCAGTACAGCTAAACTGTTTTCATTGTTTTAACATTTTTACATTTATTTTATCTCATGTAACACAGAATGAAGAACAGCCAAGAAAAAGCCAAAATTTGAGTACCTAGTAAACAGTAATTTCCTTGTACTGGAGCATTTATTACTTATCAGGTAGCATCTTACCAGACACTCTGCATGGGTTATCTCATGGTCCCCGAAACAGCCCTATGAGATAGGTGCTGCCATTAGTCCCACATCATAGGTAAGAAAATAAAAGCTCAACAAGGTGAAACAACGTCACACAGCACACAAATGGTGAATCTGGGTTGGAACCCTGAAGTCTACTCAAGAGCCTACAGACTTCATTGTGGCTAAAAACAAGTGACCCTCCACAGTGAGGAAGCAACAGTGAACCTACCTCATCACCTGAGGGTCAAAATTATTAATGTTCACATGTAATAGATCAAGTTAGTCACCTGAGAAGAAACCTAGAGACTGTCAGTTCATAAGTCACTAAAATGTTTGGGGTCACAGAAAACTCCAATCCAGGCAACTTTGCTAAATTTAGAAGGCTGTGGTTCCATATCCATTTGGAGAAAGAATATTAACAGAAGAGGAATTACCAACACAGTCTAGACAAAGGGACTCCCTAAGTGTAAGAACTTGGCATCTTTCATCCAGCTCTATTCAGGAGAGAGACATGGGTGCTGCTGGCCATGCCAGCTCAGGGGCCATTCCAGAAGCATCCTACAAGGAGACAATCCTTCACCATTCATCAGAGACTGTAGGAAATAAATATTCTTCAATTGTATCAAACCCACCTTTAACTCAGTCTACTTTCTGATTACAACTGGGCTTCCCATGTGGACTTGCCAACAGGGAGTAAGAGTATCCATCAACTGTGTACTAGAGAACTACAGCTCACCATTAGAACATATTCTGAACTCATACTTGTTTACACTTTGGTCTCCTGTGAGCTGAGCATGCGTGGATTTTATTTGCACTCAGTCAAGTGCTGGGACATGCACACACAGTGACCAAGCTGAAATCTGTCACTGTCCTGGCTGAAGCTAGGGTCCTGACCAACCTCGTAAACTGAAACAACCTTGAACTCCCAATTAACCATTCTGTTGTTGTTGTTGTGCTGGGAATTGAACCCAGGGCCTTGTGCATGTGAGGCGAGTACTTTACCAACTGAGTTACAACCCTAGCCCCCAATTAATCTTATTTAAAGGAATATGTCTTTAAAAGGAAAGCAATTCGTGATGTGTTAAAGCTGAGTATACAGACATTTGCTGAGTTATTCTGTTTATTTTTTTGTATGTTTGAAATCATCCATGATTGAAAGCAATGAAAGGGAAAAGAAACAACTTTCCAATTCTTTCCATCTTAAGAACAGTTAATTACTGTTAACCAGTTAATTCACACAAGTTTTTAAAAGTGTTCCTTTAGGATTTGGGCTCCTCTAGCTCACTGTGTTCAAAGAACATTAAGAGTTAGGGCACAGTGTCTTTTGGTGCCAACTACAAAGCTTCAGCACACCCACGAAGCAGCCCAGACTTGCCATACCTTGAACACGGGCAGCTTCTGCCTCTGCTGCTCTATGGAAAGGGCGGCGTAAGGATTGTAAACAATGGTTGTCCCAGAATTTTCAGTGACACTTTGTCTCTCTTCAGAGATGCTGACACCTGGCCCCTCTGTACCTGTAGCAGAAATGTTTTATCAGATTCTCTGATACAGTGAACAAAAAAGGATGTAATTTTCAAAGTTTCAAAGACCAATACATCCATTTGGAGAAATAACATATGAATAGAAGAGGACCATCTGGACAAGATGCAATGTTTTTTATCTTAAACTAATATTAAACACTAAGTTTCAGAAAGTTTTTTTAATAAAATATTTATTTTTATTGTAATTGGACACAATACCTTTATTTTATTTATTGTTATGTGGTGCTAAGGATCAAAACCAGGGCCCTGCATGTGCTAGGCGAGCGCTCTACTGCTGAGCCACAACCCCAGCCCAAGTTCAGAAAGTTTAAAAAAAAAAAAAAAGCTAGGAAAGTACCTATCAGAACACAAAAATCTTCCTTAAAAGCTTCACTGCAGTGTCAAGAATAAGAGATAACAATCTCACTGAGCTGCCATGGCCACATACAACTGTGTACTATCAAACACTGAACAGAAGTGAATGAAAGCCAACGACGAGGCCACAGACAAAGCCCGTTACTGTGAGACGAACAGGACGATAGGAACCAGGGACTTGAAAGCTGCCAAGGTTTTCTCCTTCTCTTATCTCTAACCTCTAGACAAGTTCCTTTCAGCCCCTGGGGGTGGCTTCTCTACAGGAGCTGGAAAGACTGCTGACAGTGCCTGAGCTCCGCTCTCAGCTCCTCTGCCAATCATTCTCACACACCTGGTGAGGGTGGAGGGAGGCCTGCTCTGTGCTGGGCACCGTTCTGAGTGTGAGAAGCACAACAGTCAGCAGTTCAGGCAGGCGCAGGCCCCACTGTGTGGAACTTACTTCTCTTTTGCTTCTTTCCAGTAGAACATAATAACTTGGTGCATGAAGTAGTAACAGGTGCCATGGAAAGAAAGAAAGCCACCATAAGAGGGCCTGAGAGTCTCAGGCGTGTGCTCTGCATGGGGTGAAGGAGGCACTATATACTGGACCATCGGGCACTCTCTTCCCAGCTTACATCCAACACCCACCCCATCCACTCACTCAAGGCCAAAGGAGCAGGATGCACTACATGGCTACGTGGGAAAGTGCTATTCCCAGAAACACTGTGCAGAGCAGATTAAACAGATAGCCACAGCTCCTTGCTAAGAACAATGACAAATTGGTGCTCAGTTTGAAGAACAGGGAACCAAATCCCACTCTAAAAACCTATTGAAGGTACCATAGACCATTACCCTGAAAAGTTAAAAGCCTCAGGAGAAACATGGGTTCAAATTTTATGATCATCTTCTATAACCTTTCATGCTGATTTGTTTGGGGACCTTAGGACAAACTAGGAATAGTCAGTAAATGACACAGGGTTCAGAATTCCACTCAACATAAGGAAGATAATTCTAAAAGTAGAGCTGTTCGGCAATGCAGCATGTTGCCTTGTGATTCAATAAAAGCCCTCCCTAGAAGTTCAGACCCATGCTGTGTGGTCTCCCACTGGGACACTCAAGGGATAATTACCAAAAACTACTATCTCCCAGGTCTTCTGAACTCAAAATTTGTGATGCTGTGAGAAAGTACAGGGGCTTTGTGATAAGACTGTTGAAACCAGTGATTTAATTTTACATTTTGGGGGATCCTGGATCACTTTAACAATTTAATAAAAGCTATGAATTCCCTATCCTGAAAAAATACACCAAATATAATTTATCAGAATAGAAAACACAGGGGTCCATAGGTCTAAAGCTTTAGAGTCACTGCTGGAGATCTCCATTCCCTTTCCATTGGACTTCCAGGAACACGGTTTTTATGTTCCAGAGGTTCAACATTGCCAAAAATCAGATAAGTGGGGCATTGCTCTATTGCTTTTGCCAAAATGTTGACCTTCTTTCCAACAAGATAAAAGATAGAACAGAACCTGGAACAAAGCCTGTGCTCAGAGAAGCAGGTTTCCTGTCCTTTTCTCTCTCATTATTGCTACATCTTAATAACTCCTTGGAATCTTTACCCAATAAAACTATCCCAAAAAATACCTATCCTTGGCGGGGTCTGGTGGTGCACACCTGTAATCTCAGCAGCTTGGGAGGCTAAGGCAGGAGAATCACAGGTTCAAAGCCAGTCTCAGACACTTAGCGAGGCCCTAAGCAATTTAGCAAGACCCTATCTCAAAATAAAATACAAAAAGGGCTGGGGTTAAGATTCAATGGTTAAGAGCCCCTGAGTTCAATCCCCAGTATCAAAAAAGAAAAAAAAAAAAAAACCTTTTCCAAAACATTTTAAACCATCCCACCCATGTCTGGAATATTTTAACCCTGCTCCTGCTTAGGCCTTACTTCCTCCCCACACCAGGGCTTAATACAGCAGGGGTCTTCTTCACTATGCCATCCCTCCCTTGTCTCTGACTCACAGTCCAGTCCATCTCAGGATATTCTGTTATGAGCTCTTTTCAAGAATAGTGGCTGTCAATCGAGAAACAGCTTATTTCCTTACAAAAGACTTTGTTCATTCAAACCAGCACATCAGGACTCCCTTCCCTCTGTACACATGCCACACCCACTCTGGCTGCTTAAAGTTACTTTTTCACTGGGTATGTACTCTTGTTTAAGGGAATAACAACTTTGCAATTTTCACAAACCATGAACACCTTCATTCTCCATCTATTAAAAAAAAAAAAAAAAAGGCCCAGTCCAGCATTCCCTTTACTTAACCCAACTTTTCAAAATTTGATTAGTGGGTTATGAAATCGATACAGGGGTCATATCAGCCTTTTTAAAATAATGAAATAGAAATAAGGGCAGAATGTGAAGCTCAGTAGACCTCATGTTTAGTAAGCACGGCCTGGTTTGATCCTCAAAACAAAAGAAAGAAAGAAAACAAACAGGAATTATCAGAGCACATTTCAAAAAGCAGTATTATTTTTGTACAATATTTTCAGCTATGTGTGTGTGCTATATCACAATACAATACATTTCTCACTGTGAGTCAGGTCAAAAAGCTTCAAAGCTGTTGTTATGAACTTTTTATAAAGCCCCTGAATAGCAACCATTAATGTCTGTTGAGTGAGCATATGGAAATGGACAGGCAGGCCCTTCTGATCCATGTGTGCTAAAAAATTCAGTGATTTTTTTTTTCTATAAAAATTTTAGGTAGGTCACACTACTAAGGTAGAGAACACAAACTGGTAGTTTAAGGTCCCCCGACATGCTCTTGTTAAAATGTTTTAATTTGGTCCATTTAAATGATGAGGCAACATTTTTCAATTAGAATTCCCATTAGAATCTGGATATCTGGCAACTCTGAGCCCAACTGGTAACAATTAGGTGGAGCTCCTTGCTTCAGCATATGCAAGCTCCAATGTATATCTACACTGTCTGTATCTATGCAGTGTGTGTTCACTCTAGTTTGCTACAGTCCCCATCATTCATTATTCCACTAAGTAGCTTCACTCATTCCAGTAGTCTGAAGGACATGTAGCTGAGCCTGTGACTCCTGGCCTACAGGATATATTCACAATTCATTCCAATATCTAGCCATTTTTCCAGCTTCAGTCACCTCCCTGCAATTTCCACAACCCATTTCATATCTTGCCCTTGTGTCTAATCATCTGTAAAATAAGAGTATTAACTCCATTACAAAAATACTATGATTGCTTAACACAATACGGTAAGTGAAGTCAAAGCAAGGGCCCAGTAATGTGTATTAAAGCCACTCCCATCTCAGTTAATGACAGTTTACCTAGTGTTCCCAAGTTTAGATGCATGCTGGATTCCCCTAAGGGCTGAAAAATACTGCTGCCTGGTTCCTAGTTCTCTGGACTTCTGAGATATGGGGTACAAAAGGACACTAGGATTTTTTAAAGCTTCCCAAGAAATTCCACTCTATGCAGAATTTGAGAACCACTTACCAGCCTAGAAATCTGAGTTGTTAATGACTGCACCTTCTCCCCTAACTGCCTCCAAAATGTCTGTCCAGTAAATCCCTCAACTGAACTCCCAGGCCAAGACTGAGGTCTACAACATCCTCCTGGATGCTAGTAGCACTTCTCTTAAGATTATGTCCTTAAGACTGGGGATGTAGCTCAGTGGTACAGCACTTGCCAAGTGTGCAAAAAGCAAAGCCCTAGATTCAATCTCCAGTATTGCCAAAAAATAAAAAATACAAAAGTGTCCCTGCCTCTAGTTTGCTCCTCAATCCATTTGCTACAACACCACCAGCATTACTTTTCTGAAGTAAACCAGACTATACAATTCCCCTACTTAAAAAGTGAAGTCCATATTCTTTTACCTTGTCAGAGAGATCTTTGACAATGAGACCCCTCCCTACCTTTGAAGCTTTATCTTCTGCCACATCCCCAAAAGCATCATGCCACATAACACCATCACACCACTCTGTTATTTTGGTTTGGGGGGCATTTTTATGACAGAAATTCCACTGTGCCTTTTTCACACTGCACCCTTTGCCTCTAGTTCTATTTCTCCATGAAATAAAACCTTATTCATCCCTCAATTTCACTACAAAAATACTACCATCTTTATGAAGTATTTCTTACCCACGCATTCAATCTTTCCCTCCCTCTTCTATACTTCCATTTAATTATAAATAGCTACATATTTAGTGCTAACAGCCTTTCAACTTTTCATATATTATTCTCATTTAATCCTCACAATTCCATTATGCCAAATTATAGATGAGAAAACCTGATGGAGCACTCACTTAACTTTGTCAAGCCACCAAGTTAGTTAAGTAGTCGGTCGAGATGGCCACTACAGTCTTGACTCTTGAGCCCATTTTCTTTAACACCACCCTATTCTGCCTCATTTAAAATCTCTTAACAGGCTTCTAACTTCACATTCAATTGAGAGAGAAGTGCACCTTAAGAGCACAGCCCTGATCATTTATACATGGGATTACAGGTTCAATAAATGCACTCTCAAAGAACTAAATAGAAGAGAACTCTTAGAGTAATTCCATGTTCTTTAATCAAAACAGTACCCTGGCTTAATTTTCAACAACTCACTCAGGTCTTTATTATACTTACATTTTGATCTATTACTAAAGTCTTGAATAAACAAAATAAAAAGTAATTCATTACTTAATGGGATCTTAGTTTTGGCTGCAAATAAAACTCAGGATGAATACATGGCTGATGCCCTGAAATGCTGAATCATAAAACTGTCATAACAAGCAAACTACAGATTTTACAAAAGAATTAAGTCCATCTCTTGCTTAGGTTTATTTCCCATATCACTTATATGGGAAATAAACCTAAGCAAAATGGTCGGAATTTCAGGGAAACATTATAAAACACCCTTGAAAAGCCTTCCATATATTATCTTTTCTGTCTAACTTCATTTTTGCTGCATAATACTTAGCATATCCAGACCAGTAGGGGTAATAAACTGGTAACTGGCATGCCTATAATCCCATCAATGGGGGAGGCCGAGACAGGAGGATCCTAAATTAGAGGCCAGCCTGGGCAATTTAGCAAGATGCTGTCTCAAAAATAAAAAGGGCTAGGATGTAGTTTCAGCCGTAAAGTGACCCTGTTTTCACTACCCAGTACCAAAAGAAACAAAGACAGGCTTGGATTTTTTTTTTTTTTTTTTACCTGAAACTGATGGAAGAAAAGTAAGTACAATGCATCTAGCATGGTCTGGTATACATAAACATTCAATATACTCACCTGATTAGTAAGTGCCAAAATAAAGCATTTTGTGATAGTGATTTGTGTTAGTGCACAGAAGAGGAAGGGAGTGGTGGTCAATAAGAAGGAGGAGGGTGTTCACTTTCTGGTAAAGATTCAGGGTTATGTCTACAGAATATAACACTCTCCCTTTTTACGAGTACTTTAAGTCAAACAATGTGCCATGCTCGCTATTCAGCCCTACAACATAGATGTTATTATTTTGCCCATTTTACAGGTGAGGAGACCAAAGCTCAGAGGGGTTAAGCCTCTTGCTCAAAGTTACCCTGCTATATAAGGCAGAGCCAAAGAATTGAACCCAGGCAGTCTGACTCCATAGCTCGAGCTCCTAAGCCCTAAAGCAGCACCGCCGGTCCCGCCCCTAAGGAGCCCCAGGGCTGTAGGAAGGTACGCGCGGGCGCTTTAAGACTCCCCATCCCGCGGGATGGGCAGGACAGGGCAGTAGCGAGGAAAACGAGGCTCGAGGAGGCTGAGACTCAAACTAGGTCACAGGGAGAGCTCTACACAGCTTGGGGGCAGGCTCCCCACTCCCACGGGTCCACTGTGGGCGCCAGAGCCGCAGAGTCCTCCCGCACAAAGGTGCCCAGCCCGGCCAGGTCAGGCCTACGAGCAGGTCCGCAGGCGCCAGGGCGCCGGCCGCGGTGCCGAGGCCGAAGTCAGGCCGCCGCACCTGCCCAGCGTTCCTCCAAGGGCCTTACCGGGTCGCCAGAATTTCACGGGTCCCAAGGGCGCAGCCATGCTGGGGTGAAAGGTCACGAAGAAGGCTCCACCCCGCCGTCGCGCGCGGGTCCCGCAGGGTCCAGGGGGCGTGGCCCGCGAAGAACCTCTGCCTAGACGGATCGAACGGTAGGACGACCACGCCCCCTGTGGCACCGCCCCCTCCGTACCACGTGACCTTCGGCTTCGCTCCAGCCCCGCCCTGGGCCCACGTGACCCTCCCGCCCTGCCTTATTGAAGCGGAGGACGTGTGTCTCTTTTTGTGTTCGGCTTCGTGGGTGTGGATGGCCAGTTTGCTCCGTGGAAGCTGCACACTTACGGGCCCGCGGGCATTGAGACAGGCGCTGGCTTGAGGGCCCTCGTACGCGACGTGGTGCTGAGGTCCCAGATTAACCAAGACGTTACGCGCTGTCCCTGCTTCCCTGTTTCTGTTTCAGTCTCCTCATTTCCAAGTCGAAAGATGATAATCCTGTACGTCGCAGGTTTGATGATGCAGTAAACGTTAGGTGTCTACGTGTGGCCAGTTAGGATTTCTACCTGTTCATGAAGTTTGCATCCCAGGCCAGGGCTAGGGATGGAGTGAATTGTAAATTTTATAAGGCTGGAGAAACAGTAGGTTTTATTAATATCCGTAAGTAAAACAATATGAAGTGTTATAGAGATGACAAGAGTAATGTAGGAAAACAGGGATGGAGGAGTAATTGCCTTGGAAGAAGGGACTAGAAATAAAATCAAAAGCATTCACCTAGCTGATGAATTTTCCTGGTTCCTATCTGACTTTACTCTTAGATGTAAAATGAGATTTTTAAGCAAGCTAGGAGTGGTAGCATGTGCCTGAAATCTTAGGCTAAAACAAGAGGATCTCAAGTTTGAGGCTAGCCTGGACAATTTGCCTAATTTAGTGAGACCCTACTTAAAAATAACAAAGGACAGGGGATGTGGCCTAACATATGCGAGGCTCTGGATTCAGACCCTACTACTGGGGGGAAAAAAAAAGTATTAAATGCCAGCATGTCGAAAGCAAGACTTTTCAGGCAATGAGTGTTACCTCTCATTACTTCAACTCAGAGCAAATGTGGGTGGGGTGTAATCTGATTTTATCTGTGTATGTTATAGTTTTTAGTTCTTTATGACATTGATCCTTCTAAAAGCAAAAGACAAGATTATTTGTGAATACAGGGAAAGTGAAAAAAGTGTCACTTTTTAAATTACTTTTTTTTAAAAAAAGACTGAGTCTTCCTATGTTGCCCAGGCTAGTCTCTCCTGGGCTGAAGCAATCCTCCTGCATTAGCTTCCCAAAGAAGCTGAGACTACAGATTTGGGCCACTGGGGACAGCTTTATTTCTATATTTTGATATTACTCATGACTTAATATGAAGAAATCTTCCTGTTTACAAAGAGACAATGGATTGGCCATGCCCAAATTATTGGATTGCAGTCTTAAAACTGGAAGAGATTTTAGTCAACCTTTAGCCTAAATTCCTTGTCTTATAGAAAATTGAGGTCCACGGAGGTTAAAAGGATTTGATCAGAATCAATGAGCTAATTCAGTACCAGAGCTAAACTGAAACTAGAACTTAGGCTTTCTAATTCCCAAGCTGGTGTTTCTTAACAACATAGACAATTTAAAACCACTAGAGCTAAGCTCTTCTACATGAGAATCAGTCCATTTGCCTCAGAAAGTTCTCCAAGTCCAACTGTCCCCAATGGGTTGTTTTGCTTACACAGCCTTCAAGTAAAGAAAACACCTAAGTAATAACCTACATGTTGATGGTGTGATTTAATTGTCACAAACAAGGAATGATTTCAATAGACTCTTCAGTCTTCCTAATCAACTATTCTTAGGAAGAATGGTCTAAAAATAACTACTCTAAAATTAAAGCCATTGTTTCTTAAATTGCATCAAAAATTTATGTAGTTCATTGCCAACACTTCCACAAAAATTTCATCATTTTGTTATACAGAGATACATTTTGCAACTTCCAAATGATGATAAATTTTCCCAGAAAGATAATGTCCCCCAAAATCATGTTTGATACATTATAATTTGTGGCTGTGTTAACACTCTGCTTTGAAATATTTCCAGATCAAGAATATTGACTTGGGCTGGGATGTGGCTCAAGCGGTAGCACGCTCGCCTGGCATGCGTGCGGCCCGGGATCGATCCTCAGTACCACATACAAAGAAAGATGTTGTGTCCGCCAAAAATTCCCTCCCTCCCTCTCTCTCTCTAAAAAAAAAAAAAAAAATATTGACTATGTTTAGGAGATGTAGAATTTAAAAGGGGTTTCATCCCTATTCCAAACAGTTAAAGACTTACAGATGCAAATGATAAAAAACCCAACCCAGAAAGTCCACGAGTAATCTGACTTGAGACACAGCTACCTCAAGACATGTTATAGTCAGGACTCTTTCTGATGATGTTCTGCACCTTCTGACTCAGGTGTTTGGCAACAAGATGGCCAAACTAACTTCCAACTGCCACATCCTCTTAGCATCAAACCTCTTTCCAAAATTCCCAGGCACAAATATCTCTAGCTGATTCATGTATCCATTTCTGATCAATCATTAGGGCCAGGGAATATGATTGGCTCAGGCCCAAGTACATGTTCCACCCCCAGGGTCAATTGTGGTCAGCTTTAATAGAGCCAAACTGAGAGTTGGGAACAGATGGTTCCTTAGAGGGTGATATTATCAAAGGATGAATGAAAAAAGCAAAGAATAATATGTCCACCACTAACACCCATGTATCCATGTGCTAGAATTGTTAACTACAGCTGACCCCAGGCTGAAGAGAGGTCTTCTGCAGAATTACTTTATGGGATTGTACTATACCAGCCAATAAGGATCTAAGGTGCAGTCCTCTGCAACTGTTTTAACATGTTAACCCCATGTGGTTTGTTGGCTTGTACACCAGTGATCACATTCACATGTATTAGCATAAGGAAAAGTATTTACTTGGCTCCAAGAACCTGAATGCATAGAGGCGGAGAGATCCACTGGAAAGACAGCAATCAGAGGAGTCTGTCACATTGGCCAGAGGAGCATGCGATTGCTCAGAGCTGGTTGGGTTGGGGAAAGACTCCTTAGCTCTATGAGATGCTTTCTGGATAGTCTCAAAACTGGGACACTTCTCAGAATAAAAGGGAGTGTAACACCGATGGGACATGGGGATAAGAGAAAAACTGGAATTCTGCCAGGCAAACTGGGGCACCTATCTAGGTGTGTGGCACTGGTGAAACCTAGTGTTAACAATGCTTATCTGAATGTATTGGGATACAAGGTACATAGGCCACATGTGTTGGTCTTTTGTCACTATAACCAAAATATGTGACAAGAACAACTTATAGGAGGAATGATTTATTTAAGCCCATGGGCTCAGAGGATTCTGTGGTCAGCAGGCTCTAAGGCAGAAACATCATGGGAGAAGGGCCTGGTAGAAAAAGGCCACTCAGCTTATGGCAACCAGGAAGCAGAGAGAAGGGAAGGAGACTGAGAAAAGCTAAACCTTTCCAGGGCATATCCCCAGTGACCTCCTTTCTCCAACTAGGTTCCTCCTTCCAGTAGTTCATTCAGCAATCAATGGATTAATCCACCAATGAGGTCAGAGCCCCCATGATTTAATCACTTACCAAAAGCACCACCTCTAAACACACGAGATTTGGGGGACATTCTAGATCCAAACCATAATACTATGCTCACAAAATACTTCTGAACACATTCATCTCATTTATAGCTTCAAACAGTTGCACTCATGGAGTTTGAGTCTGGGCACACCCCAGAACTCTATCATAGTTTATTACCAGGATGTGATTGCCAGAATGGTTCACCATACCATTTTGATAAGATCCTTGTAAGACATTTTTATCTTCTTATAGAACCAGGGATAATTGTCCCAACCTATTTCTGGATTTACTTCAATTTATGGACATTGTGAGGGGTGTATCCAACCAGGCTTCTCCTTGTATCTGGACTACTGGAAACTTTAAAGTTATATGTGTGGCCTTCGTGAAGTAAGTGTGACTGTCAGGGCATGCACATTTTTAGCTCCATGCCTGACTCCATTTGCACCCTTATCCCTTGGGTTTCCTTTCTGTAACTTAGTTTACATGGCCCCATGCCTTTAGGTTCCTTGTTAATTACTTTAAGTTCTTTAAGTAAGGGGGAGTTACTGCCCAGCCTGTCTACAGAGATGTGGTAGCCATCTTTTCTGCTGATTTTTAATTTTTTCTTTGTGTGTATGTGTGTGTGTGGGGGGGTACCGAATGAACCCAGGAGTGCTCTATCTCTGAGTACATCCCCAGCACTCATTTTTAATTTTGCGACAGGGTCTCAGTAAGTTGCTCAGGCTGGCCTCAATCTCCCAAGTATCTTGAATTCCCAGAGCACAACATCATGCTCGGCAGATTCCTAAAGTTTACAAGAGAATGTCAGTCCTGCAGGAGGATCTCTAATTCAAACAAACCTTTAGGAGAAAAAAGAAAAAGAAAAAACAAACAATATTGTCAAAGTTGTTCAGGTATGATAGTGGTGTTGTGGCTTTGGATAGGCATAGCGGCACATGCCTGTAATCCCAGCAGCTATAGTAATATATCCCAGACTTTGTTGTTATGTTGTTTTAAAAAGTGAATTATCACTGAAATATTTACAGACAGATGGGTAGTGGCCAAGTCAGTAGACAGATAAAGTCATATAATTCTCTCCCAAGGTGGGATAACAAATGTTTTTGAACCATACAGTTTGCCACACTCACACTCACCTCCCCTGGGAGTGGAGTCAATCATCAACCTTTTTTTTAAAAAAAAAAAAAAAACAGTGCTAGGGCTGAACTCAGGACCTTACACATGCTAAACACACACTACACTACTGAGCAACACCCCAGCTCCTAATAATTCACTTTCTTATTTTTTCTTTTATTTGCACTACTTTAATTGAACTTTGGGGTGGTCTATCACCAAGATACACCCTTAGCTCTTATTTAATGTTTTTGTTTGTTTTTAATTTTGGAACAGAGTCTTGCCAAGTTGCCCAGGCTAGCCTCAAACTTTGGATCCTCCTGCCTCAGCTGGGATTACAGGTGTATGCCGCCACACCTGGTTAGTAATTGACATTTTAAACAAGTACTCCA